GTTTTGTATATTGAATTTGCTTTGTTTTTAAATGAAATGAATGAAAAAAAAACAAACGAATCTAATTTCTAAATGCTAAATAAGATGCAGTTTGGAAAAAGTTGTATTTCTTTAAAGAATTTGTGAAATAACATTTTTTTAAAGAACATACAGAAAACGTCCTTCGCTTGGACCGTTTTGAATTTTGGCCCCTTTGTGTAACAGAGTTGGAACCTCTGATCTATGTCTACATTTAAAACATTACATTTTGTTAAGAGTTGTTACAATCTCAAAGGGACAGAGATGTTTGTGAAACCTAGATTTCAAACCAGTTTGAAGGAACGGTGTTAAGATGAAATAAGCTGGAGAGTGAAGTTAAATCAATGTTCAGATCAATGTTAATGTTTAAAAAAATGATCAAAGTTGGTTTGTTGAAAGAATATGAAATAATGTATATCTGTACGAGGTGGTGCTCGAGGAGGAGTTAACATTTTTTATTTGTTATTTAAAGATTATTGTTTGAATTAAGCTTTTGGAAAAAAAAGGGGCGGAGGTGAGATTTTTTCATTCTGCTGCCTTTCATTTTATTTGTGATTGTATTTATTAACCATTTCATGTATCATAACTGTAGTTTTTTTAAATGAATAAACTTTATAAAGCAGMCAGCGTCAAAGTATCCCTAAAGAATTAGTCCCCTCTTTTTTGTGACTRTTCATACTTTTTCCTAATCTAAAGAAAATGCAGATTTTCAATGTTTGYTTCCTCAATACAGATCCTTTTTGTTTKKTTTTTTTCTRTAAAGGACTATAATTACAAGCATTTTGAAGGCACAAGTTGATGCAGTGTTCATGTCTGCAGCAGTGCTGGTTTGGAGGTTATGCAGAGAGGAAGCTGCTGGGAAAAATAAATAAATCTCTCCACCCTATTTTTAGACTAGTTGATGTATTTTTTCCACATTTGCACAAAGCTGAACCTCCAGTCTCAGACTTCCTAACAAACCTGCAGAAGAAGCAGGACGATCCTGGTATTTGCTGGATTTTCTTCCATAGAAGAGCCAATATAKGATGGATTTAGGTGCAACTGAAGTAGAAACTATTTAAATAACTGCACTTTTTTCATGCAACTACAGTTAGAAGAAAGAAAAAGGATGATCCACACATTTCAACTGTGTAGTTTTTTTTTAGACATATTACTTCCTTTTCTGAGTACACAGTAGAGACAACATGTTAGCTTGGCTGTTTACAAAAAAAAAACATTGCATGTTTCCAGTTATTCGGACTGTCTATACAGAAATAATGAATTAAAAAAAACACACACAAACTTGGAATTCTCTCCTCCCCGAAAACTAACTGCGACGCTGACAACTCTGCTCAAATGAAATGCTGAGACATTTAGACCAGTGACTTTTGTTACAGTATAAAAAGTTCAATTCCTAAATAGCATGAGAAACTATTTTATTTTTTTAAAGCTGTAAAAATACAGCGGTCATGTTATGACTTAGAGGCCACATTCATCTAAGAAAACAAACAAAAAAAAATTGGTATAAATGTACATTCAGTGCTGAGAAGCAGAAGCTGCGAGTCGTCTCCACAGGATTGGTTAGTTCGACGGGAAACACCGACAGATTTACAGAACAGTCACCCAGTCCTGACCGGAGGAGCATTAGAGGCTTCTCTAAGTTTCGGCTCTAACAGGAACTATAAGAACAGCCACAGGTGAGGGTCAGCTCCTTGTGTCAATCATACGAGTGACAGCAGGTTATTTCCATTAGTAGTAGCTTTGATTTGTTTGCTAACTAGTTTAGTGCGGCAGCTAATGTCTTCACGAAGAAGAAAATAAGATAAAGCAACAAGATGTTAAAGATCCTGAGCAGGATGATGACCAATCGTTAGTGGATTCGTTTATTTTGGTTAAATTAAAAGAAAATAAACAGTTTGGTACGAATGACGCCCGTTATAAATGTAGTCAACTTTAAACCTGCGTGCTTTATAATCARCTGTGGAGTAAAGTACATGCCTGCTGATAAGGCAGTAGTGTTTTAACACTGGATCTGAGATTGGAATCTGGTTCTTCATTCTTTGTGAAGGCTGAGGGGATAAATCGTTGTTGGTCATCACCTCTAACTCTTATCAGCCTATGTTTGCAAAAAAAAAAAAGAAAAAAATACTCAATTTGAGTCATTAATCTACACTTACGCATTAAGTATTGACAAAAAGGAACTTGTAACAAAGTGCAGTGACCACAGGAACTTACAGTGTACTACCTACATGATAAAGTGTGTAAATATAAAAGGGGGTGGGGCTTACAGAGACAGAAGTTAAAACTATGAGCAGTCGCCTAATGCTTATGAGAAAATCGCTACAAGGCGATGTAAACATTAACAAAAAGAACTAGTCATACTGTCGTTTGAAGCTGACCCAGAAAAAGAAAAAAAAGGCCTTTACTCTTCCATCTGAGCAACACAAAAGGATCCAGACTCTCCACACAGGGATTTTCTTCTACCGGGGGCGGGTCAGCATCAGTAGCAGCAGTCCATCAGCAGCAGTCCAACACAGGCTCAAGGACTGACAGAGATCACCAGTGTAGTGTGCCAAACTACCACTCACTTTTCCACAGTTTAGGGGTACATCAAACTACAAAGTATTTAAAAAGTGTCATGCCTACAAATAAATACCAAGTCCCAAAAAAAAGGCTACTTTACAAATCTAGAGTTTTAGAGCTGTACAGAGTCAAAGCTTCCAGGAGTGTTAGTAGCATTTTTTTATAAGGCTTCTAAGAATTTGGACAAACGTTTTTTAGCACAAACTAAGCCATCTGCTGACACGAGAGCTTCTCTCTATAAGCTGCTTATTCATGAGAAGCATCTAGAGCAGACAGAGATACTGGCAAAGCGTTATGGGAGGGGGAGAATCAACAACGAAAAAAAAAAACCTTCCATCCGTTCAGTTTGCATGCTGTACCTTAGTGAAACTTGAGCTTACATGTTCGTTCATTCAAGTGCAATAAAGTTAAGAGATCACAGAGAACTCCCCTTAAAAGGCCAAAAAAAAAAAAAAACTTCAAATTGTGCATTAGTGTCCTCTTATCTTGGKCTTTATGCAGTGTTTGAGGCGTGTCTCACTGACAGACACAAGGGGCTGCCTTTGTATCGTCAGRGATTCTCACTGCAGGGAAGTCGTAGATGTAGTTTGACGAGACCCAACGAAGACGACGTCCATGAGAGACGATCCTTTTAATCCAGAGTAGACAGTGTGCTTGTGTTAGTCAGGGTTCGGTCCCTCAGAGGTTCAGATGCTTTGGCGAACTCTTGGTTCAGTTCCACGTTTAATTCACATATTTTCAGTGCACTCGTCACGTTTAAACSCGGCCTCAGGATCAGTGCCGCACCTCGTTATCGATGAGGCTGTCCTCACCGGACTGGAAGTCYGCGTTCAGGCCATTTTGAACGTTAATTATCTCCTCGTCCTGCGAGGACCCCTGGCCGTCGTCCTCACCGCTGCCCGATCCAGCTTCTTCCGAATTCGGATCTTGGAGCACTTCGGCGATGTACATTTGCTGAAAGAGCGAATATAAAATAAAACCAGACAATTATTTTGTGTTTTAGGGAATAAAATGAGAATTATTGAATAAAATATGTTCCTTCCTTTCCCTTTTCTTACATGTCCAAATGTTTTTCAGCTTCTTAAGTTCACCAATTTACTTTTAAAGTTTTATGCTTGATGTGAATCTTTAAAAATTTGATAATCTACATTTTTTCCAGTTTATAACGCTATTTATTTTAAACATTAATTTCCACTTCTTGTCTTCTCAGTATTATACACATTTAACACGTTTTTTAAAGAAAATAGTCAGATTTTTGCAGCTCAAGTTCAGCTTTAAATGGAGTTGATCATTATCCATGAAAAGTATTTTTTAAACAGTTTATCTTCTGCGTTTCCATTGACCATGAAAATGCGCAAATTAGAATTTCGAAAATACATTTGCGCAATGGAAACACGTCAATTTCGAAGAAACATACGTTTTTCRACAAAATGTTTTTTGCGCTAGGGTGAGGTCGTTTTTTGGCCGTATCGAAATTGGTGTATTTCGCAAAACTACAATGGAAACACTTTTTTCGCATCACGGGAGTCACGTGATCAACAACCGGCTGTTTCTACTGGCGAAAAAGACGAAGACTAAGAAGGAAAAGGAAGTAGAAGTAGTAGCAAACTCACCGACTACAATTTCCCAAAAACACAGCATACGTAGCCGCTCCCAGGTTTAAGGGGCTCGTCACTCGAAAGCCTCGATAAAAGACGTCTCCTCTGATGGCTGATGATGAGCGCTAGTGTCGTGGTAGCAATATGCATGCCGCCATGTTTGYAATGACTTATCACGAGAACAAACGTATTCACGCGTGACTTTAATAGCATTTCTTACTTAATGGAAACACCACAATTGCGAAACTGTGTTTTTTTTCAACATTACCAGAATAACGACAAAGTTTTGCGCACATTTACAACGGAAACGCAGCTTATGTTATTTTTCTTCATTCTGCCTCCTGTTACAAACTTGAAGTTCATAATATTTTTAAAGCAGAAATAACTTCTTTATAGTTACCTTATTTGTAGTGCAAGGACGTGCTGTTCTTCCATTCTCCACCCCATCCAACTCCTGGTCAATCTGCAGCAGAAAACAAAACTTTATTTCTCTGGCCTGAAACAATGAGGAGTACTATTAGAGAAATAATCAGGAAATAAATATTACAACCTTGTAGTTGTGGGCACTTAAATACTTAAAATGTCCGAAGCAGACGTGAGAGAGGCAAATTATGATGGTGATGACCAAAACCACGAAGGTAAACATGGATGTTGCAGCCTTGAACCCTGAGAGACACACAGACGGGTTTGGTTTTATATTCCACACTGCAAAAAGTGTCCATCTTATCAAGTTTTAAAATCTTATATCAGCCAAAAAGTCTTTTTGATCTTGTTTTGAGACTGATTTACTAAACAAGAACTGACCGTGTAAGAATAATAACCTTGTTTTCAGAATGTGTAAGGTTATTTGTCTTGTTAGCCTGAAAATTTGACTCAAATTAAGTCAAAATTTTCTGCCAATGGAGTAAAAAAATTTTACTTGGTAAGATTCTTGAAATAAGAAAAAATTGAGTCAAATCAATAATTTCAAGAATCTTACAAAGTAAAATTTTCTTACTCCATTGACAGAAATGTTTGACTTAATTTGAGTCAAATTTTCAGGCTAACAAGACAAATAATCTTACACATTCTGAAAACAAGATTATTATTCTTACACAATCAGTTCTTGTTTAGTAAATCAGTCGCAAAACAAGATCAAAAAATACTTTTTGGCTGATATAAGATTTTAAAACTTGGTTAGATGGACATTTGAATCAGATGTAATTAGAAGAATTTGTCCAGTAGATGGAGCTGTTCTCTCACCAGAACGAACTGTGGAAAAGAAAAGAAGCCAAAAGAGACAAAGAATGGGAGCAGCCACCACTTGGTTGACGGCTCCAGAATGGATTTTCTTGTCCAGTTTGGACGGCAGATAGGCGTAGTACATGTTGTACCTGTCAGCTAGGTGTTTGAGCAGCATGTACATCAACCCTGCACGGAGAAGGACAAGGAAATCAGCAGAACTAATCCAATTATTCCTGCTGATAAGCCGTTAAAGACCATAACCCCTGGATGTAGCCTGCCCTCTGCATGACTGCCCTCCGGTCATCTCGTCTGCAAACTAACTGGATTTGAAACGAGGCTGAAACTCACCAAACGGGACGATGATGGGGCAGGTGATGCTGTAGGTCATGACCACAGTGAAGACGCACATCATCCAGGCGTAAGCTGCTCCRAACTGAAACTCATAGGCTTGATGCTAAAAAGACACAAAGCACCAATTTTATTACAGATTTATTTATTTTCGACACAAATAAAACAGTTTTAAATGGCAGTTGCCAGTACTTTTACACTGAAAAGCCAAACTGCCACAGCCAACCGACCTGGATCAGAACTAACCTTTTTGACGTTCCTTCGTTCTGCTGCAGAGCGAGCCAACAGGAGCCGGATCATGTACATGAGCAAACCGGGAATCCTCAAAAGGTCGTTGGCGTTCCCGATGAACGCAGACGCAATCACGTAGTTCACAAAGAAGGCTCCGTTGTCAGGAAGGAAAACACACCTGTGAACAGAAAAAACAAAAAAGTAAAATGACGAGTTGATGTCTGGCTCTAGACTTCTACAAAGCAACACTGCAGGATGTTTTAATAAGACTTAATATCAATCTGATCAAGCAAAATGTGGCTAAACCCAATGGATAAATGATGAACATTTATAACAAGAAAAAAATAATCAGCTGTTTATATTTCAGTCTAATTTCATGGAAATTATTTAAAAAAAAAAAAAGGAAATACAGCTGAAACCAAGATACTCCAGATGAAACGGAAATAAAATTACACAGTAATATCAAGACAACAATTTTAAAGCTTTATCTGTCAGAACAATCAATAAAAGAGCTATTATGAATAGAAAAAGAATCTATCACATTATTTTGATATGGAAAAGCTTTTTGTTAAAAACCTCATCTGCCTCATTCATAGTAAATGAATAAATATTAATATCTGCCATGGATTTGGTCACCTATTTACAGCCTAAATCTGTCCCTTGGGAGCAACAAAGTCGCATTAAACAGTCATAAAACTGGTTTACTTACTCAAATCTCACTGTCGCTTTTGATAAAAACTGTTTGTCAAAAAGCCACCGGAAGAAAACATCCAAACTGCAAAAACAAAAACGTAAAAAATAAACGATTAGCCAAAACACAAATCCAGAAAAATAACTGAACTCATCTTATGGATGGAAAGCAGACCTGGTGAGTCCGAGAGAGGGCAGCAACAGGACCATGAAGATTAGGAAAGTGTAGCATTTATGCATTGTAGTTCTGTTTTCTCCTGACCTGCAGACAAACCGTTTACACAATTAAAAAAAAAAAAAACAGGACAAAGCAAGCGCTTAAATTTCACAATGAGGTAAAGGTAATCATACCGAGTCCAATGGGCTTGAAAGAAGGCAGAGTAGTAGACGATGGTGGGAAGTAAAGCAGAGAAAGACCACAGAAGGAGGGTGGGGAAGAACTGGGTGACGATTGGATTCTGGAGGACAGATCAGAGACAAAAACACATTTGTGTAAAATGTTCCCTTTTTTCTTTAGCTCCTATAAAAACACAGAWTCATGTGATTCTACTAATCAAAGACTGTTAGCACTGACATTCAGGTACTCCACTGGTTTGGTAACATTGAAYTTGTCCATGGTGGAGATGATGAAGGCAGGGGTGGTGAGGAAGAATAAAAGAAGGAAGAGGGCACAGTTGATTATGAGGCAGCGGAGCCACCAGGTGGCTCCTCCCACTGACAGATGCTCCCTGTGGCGGGGGAAAAAAAGGGGGGTTACATAGTGGTCAGACTAACACAGAGTGATGACCTGCAGCTATGGAAACAGCTGGCCAGCTAAACAACTAAACCATCATCATCATCATCACTTGAGGTAACAGAGTGTTTCTAAAATAGGATGAACTGCTCGTCAACATGACAAAGAGCAATAAAATCTAATTCTGCATTATTGATTTCAGTATATGCTTGTATGTGTTCTCACCAGTAGACATTTTGTGGATCAGGAGCGTAGCTGACGGTCCAGTTGTGTACGTTCAGCCTGGAGCTGAACTGAGAGTTTTTGGGCTCGCGACGGCACTGACAGCCCTGAAACTTGCAAGCATTGAAGTCCTTTAAAATTCTGAGGAAGAGGCGTCCGTCCAAACAAAGAACAGACGTGTTAAGAGTGGGCAGAGAGCGCGAGCATTAGTCTCACAGACACAGGAAATTAACTTACATAGCAGTTATGGCCTCATTCTGAAAGGTGACAAAGGCCATTCCTAAAGGTTTCTTGTTAACCTTCTCCCTCTCTTTCCTGTATTCGTCTTTTAGTTTTGCCTCCAGCTTAGTATAATAGCTCACAGCCTCTTCCTAGGGAAAAAAAATCAAGTTTATAGAATGTAAATTATTTTTTCTATGCATCAGTATCAGTTGAGACATTAGTTATGGATTTAATGATAAGACAAATGATGTAAACACTTTAGACCAATAACAGATTATAGGTTTTTGACAAATGTTCTGGCATTTCTCCAACAAAATGCTTTAAAGTGCCTGTGACATCAAATATTTATAATAAATATGAATGCATGTTTGAAAAGACGACATTGATAACTTATTGTAAATAAAATCTCACGCTGTTGTGATGAACAGTTGAGATATTTGTATGTGAAGCAACAGGAAGTGATGTCATAGAGGAATGTCTGCATGTGAACAGAGCAGTGCTAACATGGCTAACACAGACTGTAGAAAATAATCTGAGGTTTCTTTAGATTATTTTGACTCCATCAGAGAAAGAGGAAGAAGTGTCAGTGTGCAAAAAACAAAAACCAGGCACTTCCTTTAGAGTTCCCCTTTGATGTCACTTCCTGTTTCACTTTTGTCAAGTTACATGCAGTAGAAAATGGCAGTTATGTGATAAAACAGTGTATTATGGCAAGTTTCTTAAATATAAAGATGTTTTTACTTCTTGTATTCGAAGGATATGCTTGTCATGGACACTTTAGAGTGTTGGTTTAGAGTGCTGTGTCAGTATAAAGTTGGAATGTGTCACTCTGACCTGCTCACAGCCTTTAATGATACAACAGCAAAGGTGTCCACAGGGTTTTGGATTGATCATGGTTTTGACGTGTTCTTTGGCCTGCAGGTCAAGAAAGAACTTCTTGCTGCGCTCGGCCTTCTTCCTGCATACAAAACATCAGCTGTGTCAGAGAGAGCCATGTCTGCCACGGAGCAAATAAATCCATTTAAACACAGATACCGTTCAGAGTTGAGATACATCAGCTTGGCCACATCAAAACAAAGGCGAGCATCCAGTACACTGCAGTTCTCATATGCTTGTCTATTTTTAAAAAAAAGAGGTAGTGAGGAAGAAAGTAAAGAAAGTTAGTTATTTTTATATTTTATTCAAAGCACAAAAGCAGAAACACTTTTTTAAAAAGTACAAAATCAGCAATATTTAATTAAATTAGTTCCATCTCATATGAGAACATTTAACACTCAAAATCAGATTTTCTATTTTTTTTAATCTATAAAAATACTTCCAGTCAGGATTTTTTTAATGCAGAGCAGCAAGAAACTAGATCATTTGCATTTCTTGCACAAATGCAGTGTGAATGCTTAACGCTAAATGATTTTTTTCTGAAAAGCTGAAACTTAAATATAGACTTAAAAAATAGGTCACAAAAATACTGAAAAAACATATTTGCTGAATTAAGCAGTAAGAATTATCACAAAAAGGTGACATTAGCTTAAAAAAAGCTTAAATTAGCTAAAAGTAGCTAAAAGCTGAAAGAAACAAAAATGATGAGTTTAGCAGAAAAGCAGAGGTTAAAATGACAGCTAAAACATAAAAAAAAATTAAAAAAATAAATATAAGCAAAAAGAAGCTGAAATTAGTACAACAGATTTAAAGAAGCAGAACCAGAACAAAAGGTAAAATGAACAGTGAAGATTTATGACTTTTCAGAGTTATAAGGATGTTGAAAAAAGTTCCATTCATTTTCAAAAAAAGGAGAAAAAAAAAAGGGCAGTCAATTTCATATCAAAATATAAAATGATGACGAGCCAAAAGTCATATCCGGAATATCTGCTCCCTTTCATTTTATTTTGATTTTTGATTTGTGTTTTTTTTTTTTGTTTGTTTTTTATTGTATATAGTTATTTTTAAAATGAAATTAATGTTTTTTTTAACTGAACTGAATCCTAAAAGGATATAAATTGTTAAGAGCACAAAAATTACAAAACAAAATGCATGCCAAAAAACGTACAGAAGAAATGCTTTGTAAGAATTCACACAATAAAAATATTTGAGTCATACWATTCAACCAAACAGGAAGTGAGTCAAACACCCCCTCTATTAGAGCATCTTGACACATGACTTGTCTAATCCTGCTCAACCGTTTTCTATTACGAACAATTACACAAATAAACCCGCTATTGTTACATTTTACCCACAGAGTTGAGGAGAAAACAGCAACTTTAACAGGACAAGGCACGACTCTCATACCTCCTAATATGTCAACAGAAGGCATGGCTCTTACTAAAACAAATATCACTGCAAAAAAATGAAAATACTTACTCAAAATGTTGCTTTATTTCATTCTCCTCGGCATATTTGGAGATGCCAATAACAAATAAAGTGCGCTTCACCTTCATGGAAAAGAAAACATAAATCACTTAAACGAAACAACACACATTTTAAATATGAAGAATGAGTTTTATTCTATRAAAACTTACCAGATCGTCCTCTTTGTAATGCATCTTAGACGTGTGCCGCCTCATGCTGTACACAGTCAGCAACAGGTAGAGAAAAGCAAAAATCGTGTGCAGCCACAGTAGTGCATTACTGTGAAAATAAAATGGGTAAGAGATTAAAAATGTATATGCATTCGGTAAATGAAATGTAAATGAAGGGTGAGTATTACTCACTCTGCAGTCAGATTAACAATTGTAGTTCGCCCAAAACTATAAGCATCATTAACTGTGGGGAAAAAAGGAAGACAAATAGGTTGTCATTTCAATTAACTAAACAAATAGTAAAATCAGATTTTATTTTAAAAAAACGTAACTGGGAAAATAAATTCTGAAAACAAGATTATTCTTACACAATCAGTTCTTGTTTAGTAAATCAGTCTCAAAACAAGATCAAAAAGACTTTCAGGCTGGATATAAGATTTTAAAACTTGGTTAGATGGACATTTTTTGTAGTGTATTACATCCTCAAAATGTGTTTATTTTTTCTCCACAAATAACCCAAATGCTGCTCAATCAGTATGAAAATAGCAGCTGTTACCATCAATAATAATAATAATAAATACATGATATTAAATTAGCTCTGCATGGTAACGTTAAAATATAAATAACTTAAACCAGAAGCTCACAGCTGCTACCACTACAGAAAGAGAGAAAATCAACATGTCAATCCAACAAAAATTGATTGACAGCTGTAAAGTTAACTGAATTGTAGCAGTTTTTGTGTTGGCTAGAATCGATTAGCTTTGGCAGCCATCTTGAATTGGACCTAATTTTTTTGGTTTTTTATGAATCCAATAACTACTTTCTCTGTTTAATATCCAATAATTAGTTCATGAGGTATTTTGCTAACGGCACAAACGGACAATAGTATTGTCTTGTAGAAAAATGAAATAAAAATAGTTTTCAGTTCACCTAGCAGGTTTCCTGAGAAGTTAACGGGGAGGATGATGCCCACAGAGAGCACACCCACTGCAATCAGCAGACCAATGATGTGACGCTGGAAGGACAAGTAATGCACTGCATCTTCACCACACTTCTCTCTTATCTCGTCCTCCCTTCAATAAATAAAAAAACAGCAACTTTAGAGTGGAGCAAACTATTCAACCAAACAATCCCATGTTGTGTTTTATCCGTGGTACAGGAGCTCATTTTCTAATTGCTGTGAAGGAGCTAACTCACTTGATGCGAAAGACAGAAGTCAGCCAAGAGCAGAAACCCTACAGGGGAAAAAAAAAAACTAAATAAATTAAAGTGATCCAGTTTTTTTCTATTTTATCTTCTAACACGTTTGTTTTACTCACATAGTCTCTGTTATCGATGTCCATGGAGCTCGACACAGAGGTGAGGCGCTCGTAGCGTTCGGACATCGACGATGGCTTGGGTGAGTTCATGGTGGTGGCAGAGCTACAAAAAACATGAACCCAGTTACACAAAAACCCAGCGGGGCCACAGAGTGTACATCAGTGTTAGTTCACTATGTCTCAAACCAGAAGGTTTACATTCAGTAAAGAGGTAACAGCACAAACTGTACAGAAACGCATCACAAGGAGAGGATCTGGATCCACATTTCATGCAGTGCTAGGTRTAAAAAAAAACAAAAAAAAACATCAACACTGCCCAAAAACAGGTTAGAATACACCCGCGAGCCACTTCTTTAATTACCTGTTAACACAGGTAATCAACCAATCACATGGCAGCAACGCAGACAAGGTGATTTGCTGGAATTCAAACTGAGCGTCAGAATGCATAAGGGGCAGTGTTGTAGTACTTGAGACCACTTTTTGATGGTCTCGGTCTCAGACTCAGGATTTTATTTCAAGACCAGTCAAGACAACAACTATGGAAATATTACTTACGTACCAGAATATTGTGCGATTTATTTGTTAACATCTTTGCTTTGATTGGATGTAAAACATACGGATTAAAATCCATGGCTTATTGCTAATGAAATATTGTTGTTACYTCTGTCACCCATCCCCAAGAAAGACGATACAACTCAGCTACATAAATCATAAAGAACATTTTGTAAAACATTCAGGAGAAAGCAAACAGCAACTTGTAAATTCTGCAGTGCTTCGCTTTCAGAKACGGTGAGGACTACGTCAAACCTTTAAGTCACTTAGAAAGGAAGCACAAGGCAAGGTAAGCTATGTGTCAGTGATGTTAGCAAAGCTAGCTAGCTAACATCAGATATCTGCTTTTTGAATGTTTTTTTCACTTTTATTCACTATTCAATAATTTTTACATTTGTTTAGCATAAGAATTTTTTTTAACTAACATGTTTTAAACACTGCATTATATTACAAGTTAAAACGTTTTAACCAAGTGATGATAAGAACAGAACCAAAGAAATTAAACATCTAAATTTGTCTTGTCCTCATCACTCTGGTCTTGACTTGGTCTATCAGGTTAGGTGGTCTTGACTACAACACTAAAAAGAGGGGATCTATTTGAATGTGTCAGTGTTTTCACACACAAGCACCTCTGGGGTTTAAAGAAAATGATTTTTTAAAAAGTAAACTGCAGTTGTGTGGACAAAAACATCTTGTTTTAGTCAGAGGAGAACAGCAGACAGGTGTGAAGGGCTCGACACACGGGAGGCGACGTAGCTCGCTCTCCATTCATTTCCTATGGAGCCTGTGCTGTGAGGCGACAATCGCTTGCCCTCCTCCAGCTAAGCGACCGGCGAAAATAGTGCATGTGAAATTTCGCACTCGTACACGTAAACGTGCACACGCGAGCTTGCGACGAGACATATGAAAGTTGAAAAATGTTGAACTTTTGTCGTTGTCGCTTAGCATACAACCAATCAGCGAGGGTTTCATTGACTGACCAATGAGAGGAGAGTATGCTACACACTGCAGTTAGCTAACACTTTCACCAAGTTATTACTAAAAAGCTTTGTGGGAATTTAATGGCACCAGGGTGAAGTTTATGGTAAGTTTTTCCTCATAAAAYTGTATCTTGATGTGTATTTGTTTTTCAATATCATTAGCATCGCAAGATTTGTTTAGTTTACACGTCTGTAATGCACACCCGCCTTCAGAGTCAAGAACCAATCAAATTTTGTGAGGACAAGCGACCTGAGAGCRCGATTCGSAACGCTGCCGTCACYATCGCGTCCCGTGTGTCGGGTTTCACCTTGGCTGCGATGACAGCCGTTAATCGCTGTAGTTTGTCGCTGCCCGTGTGTCGAGCCCTTGAGAGAACAGAAATAATCTCAAATAACCATCGGGCCACAAAAAAGGTTCCATTTCTTCCCCATTTCGATGCTCAGTTTAAACTTCAGCAACGTCATCTTTACCACATCTAGATGCCTAAATGCAGTGAATTGCTGTCATGTGATTGGCTGATCCTTCATTTGTGTATAATTAAGTGGCTGATGAGTGTATAATTCATTAGAGAAAAAGCTCYGTAGAAAACATTAAAGAAACCCATAAGAGATCAAAAGGTGAATGTATGAAACTTTTCCAGCAGAGCCACAATTTTTTTTGGATGAAACAAAGCATCAAGAGCTTATTCATTTACTACCACATGACATTATTTTTTTAACAAATCTGGAAATTTTAAACAGAACTAAGGCTCTGTTGGAAATGATTAAGATTCCTACATGAAAGTATGACGACATTCAAGGCTTAAGAGCTCTAARAGTGAGGATGAAGGAGAGAGAGCCTGAGGCTGGAATCATCAGTCCTCCTCTCCCACATTCCTGGGAGAATGAGCAAAAGGTTATCTCAGCTCTACCAGACGAAAATAAATAAATAAATAAAAAGTCGTGTATGAGCCTGTCTAAAACATGAAAAAAAAAAAAAAAAAAAAAAAAACAGATCAGGGAACTAAACAGTTACCTCTCCCTGTTAGCATCCTGTCTGTGTGGCTCACGCGGCACGCTCATACAGGAGAAGTTCATGCTTCATAAAAGAGGTCAACACACAGATTAGCACACACAGATCTGATTATGGCAATGCTAGAGGACAGGGACACCCAAAAGTAGCAGCACAAGAGCAACGAGGAGAAAGAGAGWAGCTAGCAACCTGAAACCGAGAAATGCCTGGAAGAAAAAATAACCAGAAAGAGTTAACAGCAGGCTGAAACTCACTGCAGCATGAGCAGAAGAGAAATGAGTTGTGAGTCACGTTAATCAGAAGTGAGAAGACAAAAAGGTAATGAGTCTATAATGTGGAGAGAACATACTATTCCCGATCATCCAGACGACTGTATCGTTGTTCCGCTACTCTAAAAGAAAAAAGAAAGAGCAAAATAAAAAGTGTTTAGCTTAGAAGAAGTGTTGGGACAGCAAAAAAAGTCAAAAACACATTCAAGCTGTATTCCAACACGCATATCAAAGAAGCCTTCTGTTGAACATAATTACTGTTTGTTTTATTTAGTGCTTTTTTATTTGAGTTGGTATCGTCGCTTATATAACATCTTGAGTTGTTGACTCTTTAGCAGCTACACATATTTTTCAGGAGTTATAAAAAACTAAAAAGACAATGCACAGAGTAACGAGATAAATTCATATCCTGCCTTTTACAAAAGAGTCCCGTGCTGCTGCCCCCCTTCCCATCCTCCCACCATGTTACAGTCCCATTCTTTGCTCACACACAGCTGCGAAAATAGTGCGACTGCGACGTAACACGAACACAGCTGGAGGATGTAGGCACTGGAGCACTGTGTCAAGAATTTTCCAGGGTTCACAGTTAAGGAAGTCCGTAGTTTCTGGTCTCGATTGCTGTGGGATGGATTCTTGTTCACATGGAGACAAACTAAAACCACYGTTCACACTCGTACTCAGACGTAGTTACCACTGGTCTGTGGGAGAAAACTCACATGTGCACAGGAAGAACATGCTAGCAACAATTCTCAAATTCTTTCTGAGTCAACATTTAACACTGGAGTCTGAGGCTTAAATGCAGACTAGCTTGGATTTTTTTTTTTTTTTATCAACAAAAGAACCAAATTTTTTTTATTTTCTTCTTCATGTCATGCTTACTCAATCCAGTCCAAGTGACAAAACTCACATCAAAGTGCATTAATAGAAAAACTGCTGATGCCGTCTTCCTGATTAGAGAACTGACCTTGTGATGTCTGCTTTGCTTTTATTTCCTCCAAAAAGTCAAAACAGCGTTAATGACAAGAAATCAGARAGACATCTAGTAAGTTTGAACTCTTTAAGCAGGAGTCCCTAGTAAAGTTATGAGTTTGAAAATCAATGAAAAATGATAGMTGATGACTATTTAAATATAGACTCATGCAAATGTAATTTCAGACAAACCTCGTGAGTAAAATTATCTCGTTAGGCGGCGCTAATTGAATCAAAGAGGGTTGGGAAGAAATTGAAATTCCATAAATTTAAACAAACAAAAAAAATATCCAACAGTTCTGAACTATTTAATCCTCTTGTTGTTTTGACCCAATGACAGGGGTAAAGTTACTCATTGCAAAAAAAGTGATTTATACTAAATGGTGTAGTTTAAGTGTTTACTTCAGTAGTTTTCCAGATTATGCGTATTCCTAAAATGCARGTACGCACTCAAYRKAAACAAAGCACTTTTACTTTTCACTTCGGCTCTTTCTGTTGCTAAACAAACACGCGTGGTAGATGGCAGTTCACAAAATGTGCTTACAAATTTATTATTTTTAAGGACTCAAGCACCCATTCGAGAAAAATATTTAGCAGAGATAAATTTAGTAAGACGTCAAGTCATGTGTTGTTTTACGAAGGACAAACTCTTAGACAAAACTACAAACACAAGTTTTTTTTAAACATGACAATGTCTTCCAGGTATTATTATTGCAGAGAATGTATTATTCTTATGAAAAAATGTGTTTATAAAAAAATAAAACAAATGCACCACAGTGGATATTTTCAGTGAATGTTAGGCATGATTTGAAGTTCCTCATGATTTCTAAGAAATAAACCTGAAAGCCTTGACATGTAATCCACAGGTCTGTGTTGTTACCTGTCAGCATCGTTCACCAGAGCAAGGCGCCCATAGTCCCACGCTTTTTTCCTCAAGATGGAAAACACAAACAGCAGAACCTGGCAGAACAAAACAAAGTGCTTGTTGACACTACTCCTACCATTATTTACGATACGAAAAACTACAACACAAAAGTTACATAACCACTTTGTGTGGAAACATAATTTCCAAACACTTTCAYAGAAGTTTTTTGTTCTTTGATTATTATTATTTTTATTAAAAACACAACTGCACTGATTTGCAATCTAGGTTCTACATGAAACACTCACCAAAAAGCACATAAAGTCAAGAGCGAGGACAGTGGGTACCCCACCAAAAGGCAGTCCTTGGAGTACTGTGCTGCGTATTCGAGCCGAGTAACAGTAGTCCTTATTGGTATCATTGGACGGTGATGCTGTGGTGCAGTTCTGGGAATTGGAGCACCCTTGCACCCCGGATATGGTCATGGTCACCACTAACACAAACACCCAGTACATCACTCACTGCAGCATGCCGAMAACCTGTACACAAGTAACATGTTTTACAACTCAATAATATTGTATTGAAGACACCATAATAACACTGTGTGTACTGTGTATATCTGGTCTATGTATCCAGCCTAATGACAATGGGTAAAAGACAACAATAAAGATTAGGTCAAACAAGATAATAGGAAATTATTTTTCCTACACTGGAACTAATATTTTTGTCTTGACTTAGTCGAATGTTCCCGCCRTTTATTTGACCACAAACAYRACGATGGAAAGAAAATACAGCCGTCTCAAAGGATTAAACATATTATATATTACTTGCCTATGACTTACACACAGCACGCAATAGGAGTGCACTGATTTATCTGTCCCGATTTCTTTAATTTTGGGGGATCAGCAATTGGCCGATACTTTAGTGAAGCCAATCTTATCTACCTCCACAAAAGGTCTGAAAATCAGCCAGAGTCCTCATTGTTCCTGCTGTGAAAGAGGGCTGTTGTCCACTTAAACAAGTTAGTATTGTTTCAAGGGTTTTGTTAAATATTTTTCAACAAAATAAGATTGGAACATCGAAGGTGTACTGTGAACTTATAACACCTGAAAAGGTCAGGCTTTTTAAAGATCAGTGACCAGAAAGAAAACTGCAACCTGTGCACCCCTAGTTAACAACACTTCCCCTACGATTATCCAAAGAGGTGGTCCCACAACGAAAACAAAAAATGCTCATACCCCCTCATGAAGATCATGGCATGTAAAAAAATTAAATGTCTGTATGACTTARGTTATAATTCGTGTACACTTTCCCAAGGTCAGTTAGATGTGGTGGCCTTGAATTGGGTTGGCTTTAAAAGTTAACCAGATGTCARTGTACAATGATTACTTAAGGGTTTCATTAAAATCTCTTTAGTAATTAGAGAAATATATTTTTTAACCTACAGACAGAAATCACGCCAATAGTTAAGGTCAAAGTTTTAAGAAAAGAGGTGGCACAGCGTGTAGCATTCAATGTGTTGAGATTGAGAATGACTCAGCTACTACCACACCAAATTCTGGCTTAATATCTGTGAAAGTGTTTGAGTTATGGTAATTTTGTGTTGGATGTGGCGACCTTTTTTAATTGCGTTGACCACAAAAGTTGGCAAGTTGTAGATGCACATCTATTAATTACTTCGTGAAGGTTTTATTAAAATCCATCCTCTTGTTCATGAGCTAATTTGCTAACGCTACAGACCAGAGAATACAAACAGAGACGGGATAAAACATCTCCTTGAGCAGTGGATGATAATAAAAATGTTCTCAGAAGAACATGGGCACAGATTTAAAAGAAAGGCAGCGAGTCAAACAGGAACGAGAAGTGAACAGATGTGGCTTGTTGAGACAAGTCTGCTACTGACTTAATTTATATTACATTTCCTAAAAAAAACTTTTTTCCACTCTGACACATTTTAGAACAAAACACAGCAGCACTAAAAAAAACAAAGATTAGTTTTGAGCGTGTTTAATACTGAAGAAACCTTGATCTAAATGACAGGTATAGGACAGAGGTGTCCAACCATTCTGGTCTTTGAAAATGCGGGTTGCAAAATATTCTAGATCCGGGGTGTCAAACTAATTTTCATCGAGGGCCACATGAGCGTTATGGTGGCCCTCGAAGGGCCAGTTGTAATGAACTTTGACGTTTCATGTTTAACTTTGACTTAACAGTGTTTTAACTCCTCTTTTATACACTGATAAGAAMTAAGTGTATGACTGACTAAATCTGAAATAAATACAGAAATATTTAGTTTATGTTTGATGCTCACTTTAAGCAGCTTATTTTCAGACATTAATACTCTGCTACCCAACTAAATTGCTCAGTTACTTAAAGCCAACAGCTCAGGGAAAGAATTTATTAAATTTTTTTTATTTCGTTTATTTTTATTAAATTTATTTTGTTGCATTTAATCATAAATTTAAAGTTTACCAATGATAGAAACAAATTTCATACTATGTAAAAAAATGGGGGGTTTTTTTGGACACGGGAGTCACCCACGGGCCACATTTGGCCCACGGGCCTTGTGTTTGACACGTGATCTAGATCAACATCCTTTCCTTTCGAACTTAGCACAGAAAATTAAAAAGTGAGGTACACTGTATATCTCAGCTTTAGTTTTTGAATTTGCAACAAATATGTCAATAAGTTGTCAATAAGTTGACCATTTAAACTTTGCATATGAAAAGGAAGATAAATTCTAATGCCAGATAAAGACATATATAATTAGTATCTGTAGTTAGCTAGTCATCATCAACATCAGCTCTTTGGAAATACCCTGAAGGTACTATACAGCTGCTCTGCTTTGGCAAAAAAAAAATTTTATGCTAACTACACGACAAGCAAACAAGAGAAAACTGTATATCATGAGAGAAGGAGAATGTTTTCCCTCTCAAATTAAATGTTAAAAGCTAATCAATCAGATCCCCTTTGAAACTTTGGTTTTTCTGCATGAATTGACCAAAGACGTGGGAAGTCACGTAGGTGTTCTGCTGACAGCTGACGGTTTTTTATTCACCCTCTCCAGTTGCACAGCCACACTTGTGCCCTTCTACCCACAACTCTCAGCCGCATCCACAATGCTGCTCATCTGCCCCTAACACTAACTCATTTATCCACTCCCTGGAATGCTGTGATATCACTGGAGAGATGCAGCCAGAGCTGAACAATAAACTGACAGAGACCACAGGGTTCAAATGGACCGGGCTCAACCCAAAAAAGCACACAGCATTCTCGACTTGTCCCCTCAACAATATGGAAGACTTGACTTGCACTGCATTTGTAAAAAAATTAAATAAATAAGTAAAAAATAAGATTTTAAAGGATGCAATTCTAAAACACAGCTGTCTTTATAAACATTTGTAACCATGTTGAGTCTATAAAGACACCATCTGGTAACCTCAGTAACTAAAATAGTACATATATCTTCCTTTAAATCAAAGTTTTTTTAACAAGTATATCTTTGGAAATACAAATTTAATTCTAATAATTTTAATTTCCAGTGAAATTGAACATTTTTCTCTGTTATGTGCCGTAAGGCCAAAGAAAATCTTTTGTATAATGAATGGCATCATTGTAAAGATTGGGGATTCTTCTTTTTAAATACAAATCAGGAATTCCCGATGACATGAACATAGGTCAACAAGTGAGTTTTCAAACAGAAGTCAAGTAAAGTAGCTGATGTTGGATCATGAGATGAACTTTGGGTCACTGCTCTATTGTATAAGTCGGACTTGCTGCAGTTTTGGTTCCCTGAATGACCAAAAGTCATTTTCCTTGTTAAACCATTCCACATCAGCTCAGCCTTTCTGAAATATCAGCACCAGATCAGTAACTGGCTTTCTAATTCATCTTGCTCATACAGATTCTTATCTATATTGTTTTCGGTTTCAAATCAAGCCAATCCTTTAATTCATCATAAGCTAAATATTTGAAAAAGCTTTGTTGTTCAAAGCTGTAAAATAATAGGTTTTGTCATCAGGTTTTAGCTGCTGCAAAGCAACAGTTTTCCCAAAATAAAACACACAAACACAAATTATGTGCCACTAAAGTTGTAACATACTCTTGTGCCTGTTTTTCTGTTACCCATCATGCCTTGTATCGATGTGGCATAAGTCAATGGGTTCAACTTAGCTGGGCGTTTTTGTGTTAGTAGCTGCTTAACAAAACCTAAAACTCCGAGACGACAGAATCTTTATTTGTTAACTCTTCAGGCTCTGCTGGCGTTTGCATAAAATGAGGCATTTTATGTAATGTTTGATTCTTCTAGTACAAAAATAAAAATACCACAACAGAAGCTGCATGAATAAATATAATCAGAGTTGTAAAGTAACTAGGTTCAAACACTTATTTATTGTACTTAACTAGATTTTTTGCCTATCTGTACTTTACTTGAGTAATTATTTTTCAGCCTACTTTTTGCTTCTACTTCTTACATTTTCACACAGTTATCTGTACTTTCTACACCTTACATTTTTTAAAAAGACAAGAAGTAGAAAGTCGTTACTTTTATTTCATTTTTGCTTGTTTTCATTCCAGCTTATTATTGTAAAAAATTAAATACTATCCATATAAATCGTGTCCCCTAGATAGAGTGAATTTAATTGTGGTTGAATGAGAAGTATAAATATATAAAACTCTGATACCATATTAGTTTGTACAAAAACAAATCATGTCACACTCCAGCAGGTCATAATCATTAAAATAAAAGGACTGTACTTAAGAAGTWTTTGTATTTCATGAATTATATTATTGCATTTGGCCGCAGCCCTCAGATAGATTTTGGGGAAATGTTTGTGCAGACTTGATATATGTAAATAAACTGAAACAGCTCGACTAGTGCATCTTAAATTTAACATCAATTAATTATTTTAATACAACAGTCATTTCTGCATTTTTGGGGAGGTCACCTCCTAATAAATGTCCTTACAGAAAATATAACTTCTCATTTTAAATAAATACATTTACTTAATACTTAAGTACAAAAAGTATCAGATACTTTGACTTTTACTCAAGTAATATTTCTAAAGGAGACTTCAACTTTTACCAAAGTAACTTTTTGGTAAGATACTTGTACTTTTACTCAAGTATCACTTTGTGGTGCTTTATACAACACTGAACATAATAAGAACAATAGGGCTCAGGTGCCTCGAAGAAGAGGTCAATCAAATTTTTCTATGGCAGATACAGATCTTTGGTAACCAAAGGCCGATATAACACTGATATTTTTTGTCCATATTCATTTCTCAATCACACAGTTGAACTAAATAAATATTCAACACTCCTTTAAAATAATGTGTATGCTTAAAACTTGCTTTAAATGTCTAAATTGTTGGCTACTGTCATCTGGTATCAGCAGCTTCTGTATATTAATTTTCTTTCTTGTCAGTTGATTAAATATGTACAGATATGGCCAATTGCCATGTGGTCAATATCAGCTAATTACTGTTAGTTGACAGATTAATCAGTCTACTTCAATCTGTACAATGATTATGGAACATAAATGACATTTTGATTAACAGAAGCAATGTCAATGGACACATTTTTTTTGTTAAGCCCAGAGACAACAATGCAAGTAATGCCAGTCTCGCAAAAAGCAATACAAGTAGTTCYAGTGATGCTAAAAATGTGTAAGTTTGTGTCGTGTGGACCCGGTGCAACATTCCCCAGGAGGGAGTGTACCCATGATGACTTCCCAGAAGTCATACTGGAAAGGGATTCTCAGTCCAAACATGAGTTGCAGATGCAACTCTTAAGAGGTGGGTGTCTTACGGAAACTGTTCACTGTCTTTATTATTTATAGTTTCATTAATATTTCAACATGAAATGCTTCTAGCAATGTTAGGTAGTAATGTTGCCTAAGAGGGAGTTGGAACAAATGTTTTATTATTTTTAAATGGACAAAAAAAAGAAAAAACGTTTGACATACAAATTTCCATAACACAAGTTGCCCGTTAAAACAAGGGTCACAGGGTTGACTGTACACAAAACACTGTTGCTACAATAAAAGACAAAAAAGGCAGTAGAAATTTGTTAGATACAAATAATTTCTGCTATGAACGCTGCACAAGAAAACCTTTTAAACTTGAGTTTTATTTGGACCATCCTAGAATCAATTTATAGTATGTRTTAAAATATTTTAGTAGACAAAACGTAGGGCCACTACCAACAGTTTAACCTTAGTTCAAATCCAGACCAATTTTTAAGCCCATTCTACATTATCTGATGTTTTTGTTTTAATAATAAGGTGAAAGTTTTGTCAAAAGAGAAGAGTAAAATCCAATGAATTCTGAAATAAATACAAATATGCTAGAGTGACTACAGTTTTGTAGTTAAATCTGGTGAAAAAAAAAAAGCCACAACTGCAGTGGGTTCTAAATGAAGAGCAATGGCCGACTGTGTTTTGTTTAAATGTTCTTCTTATCAGGAAAGTTAAATTATATCAATGAGCARGAAAAACATTTTACATCCATTTTAATCAAAACTCTGAACATGGTTATCTCTAAAGCATGTTTCGAAGTCTTTGTTTGCTGCCCTGACAATATAACTAAATTCAGCCAAATTTGAAATAACAAAATCTCTCATTTTGTCTCAAAGTAACAAGCCAAGTCATTAATTCTGGCACCACTCTGGTCTGGGTTCAGCAGCATTACAAGCCCAACAACTAAAGTCAGCTGAATGTACAGAATCACTGGGATATTCAAACTATAAATTCCCCTTTTTATGATGCTGGGAGCATGTTCCTTTAAAACAAAGGCAAGATTCATTTGGTTAATTTGTGAAACAGGGGGTTTTGGGAGCACAAGATTTATTTATTTACACATGAACTGTTCCTTAGTCCAGATTAAAAATCTTTCAGRTGTATTGAAGAAGACTGTATCTGACTCACCCATCAAGAACAAGAACTAAACAAGAAATAAATGCTCTAATGTCCTAAGGATGCCACAGTAAATCCATGCAGTCATCAAAACTAAATGCTCTAAAACCATTTGATTTTTCTTGGCAATTCTATCTACCAAAAGTGCCTCAGATGTTTCTAATTAAGTTTTCATTATTTGAGTCTGTATAAATCTTATCGGTAATTTAAAAATTAATAAAAACACACCCTATTAGAAAGGTGCCTGGCCTATTTAAACATCGGTGTATGAGTACGTATGTATACATTGTTTTGAATCCATTATTTCTAGTTATCTTGTGAATTTAAACATAAAAATTTTAAAAAATCAACAGCAATGACAATAGTATTTCTTACTTGGATAACTGGATTGTGTGGGTGCAGCTCCATAAATGCAAAGTCTAGTGGATTTCGATGAGACATTTAAAATGTGACTACAAGAGAATCATAGGAGAAAATGTTTTTTTTGACAGTAACTTAATTTAGTTTGATTTATAACTATTAAACTATTTAACTTTGTCCAAATGACACTACCTTTTTTATTATTTTTWGTAATTACTATTATTTTCACTGCATAAATAAAATATAAGGAGAGTATAATAATATCTTCATATTAAGCGTTTCATGAGCTCTGCACATGAGAACACTTAGATTAATAACCATCACTGTGAAGCTTTGACAAGTATGGTATGTCGATGATGAGGTCAGTAAATCCAAGCATAGTTTAGCATAATTTGTTTCCAAACTTGCCAAATAGCTGGAGAGAAAAAAAAAAAAAAAACAGCTGTAGGTGTAGCTCATCCTCAGCCGCTTATCTATGACATATCGAAAGCACATCTCAGAGCTAATATATAACAAACCTGTGTTTATGTTTGGCTTTTTGGATACTAGCAAAAAGGAGTTTATGAAATATTATATTATTGCTAATGCTAATCACCATATTAAATATGAAAATCATGATATGAGATTCCGGGGGAGGATTAGAGTAAATCCTGGGTTAATTAATAAAATGTTCTTATTGACACAGCACTTTAGTTGTTACCAATACCTAAATAATAAAAACAACTCTCATTTTAATCCATTATGACAATATTTAATTAATGAGAAGAACAAACTGTTCACGCGACATTCGGATCAGTTAGCTTCAAGCTAAAGGKTTGTGTTCAGTTTATTGTTCTGACAGCATCCATTAGGTTCATTTACAACGACGCCGACAAGCTCGTCTTTACTGCATATGAGAACGCTGCAGGGCTTATTCCTTTGCCGATAGACAACAAAATCACTTACCTTAACTATGATACGCAGCAGAAGGAGAAACTGTCACGCTGCGCTAATAAGCTAGCACTCAGCTGCAACACCGGCGGTGACGACTGCTAACATAGTCACGAAATAACAGGTTGAAGCTATGACAACTGTCGGATTATTTTACTCCGACGACTTCCGGCTACACAGCGCGAGGACAACAAGTTAGTTAAACGGTTGAACTAGCTTAGTATTAATAAACATATCCGCGCAACCGCGGTCGTACAAGCCAACCGGTTAAACAACTATCACTGACCCGACCAGTCCAACTACTGCCTTACGGTGTTAAGATGTGGTTAAGAGCAAAAAAGGGTTCCAGAAATAAAGCGTATAGAAATCAAACGCATATTTAATCAWCAGAAGTCTCTAGAAGGTTGGCGTTGGTATTTTCTATATTGCTATGGATCTATGTTGACGGCGCGTCTAATTGACGTAATCAAAACGGATAAACAAGGTTATGTAATTATTTAAGATCTATTTTAATATTTTAATATTACTCGCACTCATTATTATCATTATACCCATTTTTATTTAAGTTAAATGCTATTAGATTACAACATTTAAAAATGTCATCTCATTCGATGTCGCTTACTAATGACGCAATACTTTGACATTGGCGTGGAGCTTGCTAAAAGGGTAACTAGCGTATTTCGACATTTTAAACTTAACTTATAATAACTTACTCGTTAATATGTTTGTATAGATTTAGGCATAGATATTACAAATATATATATACATGTATGTTGCATCCTTTGTTAGCCTGTGCCTGGCCTCCATGTGAAGTGAATCAATGTTATCGGTATTAGCTGCTAATTGTTGCTATTTTTTCTAAAGCGCTGACAGGATTCGCTGTTATGGCTCTCTCCCAGTTTTCGAGAGCTCTTCCAGGGCTCTTCGTTAAGACATCGTCAACAATTTCTCAAAGAACTTTCAGGTAAGAACATGTAAACACATCATTTATATACATAAAATATTTTGTGGATTTTTTTCTTTGGACTTCACGTTTTTACTTAATTTAAGCACCTCTGTCAAAGTGATGTGTCCAGTGCAAGCAGTCTTTCATGATAAGCTTTATTATTATATTTAGCAGAATTTTAGCTGAGGCAAATGTTTATTTTGCATGCCATGTTTGCTTAGCTAATTGGTCCATGAGGTCTACCAACATCCCTGCGAGGTCAAGAGTACTGATTTACTTTTCATCTTGTCAGTGTGTCTGCTGTGGCAGCTGCCATTCAAAAGATGACAAGAGTGCGTGTTGTGGACAATAGCTCTCTCGGAAACACACCCTATCACCGTCCACCAAGGGTGATCCACGTCTACAACAAGACAGGCGTTGGAAAAGTTGGTGACAAAGTTTTACTCGCCATTAAAGGGCAGAAGAAGAAAGCCATCATCGTCGGACACAAAATGCCCGGACCTCGAATGACTCCACGCTTTGATTCAAACAATGTTGTTCTGATTGAGGATAATGGCAACCCCATCGGAACCAGGATTAAGGTCCCCATACCGTCAAATTTACGTAGATTGCAAGGAGATTACTCTAAAATCCTGGCAATTGCGAGTTCATTTATCTAACTGTGTCATTGTTCTGTGTGGGATAGGAACATTTTACACTTGGCATTTTTTTTTTCAATAAAGGTGGACAAAAGCATGCTGCAGTCACTTAGGTTTTACATATCCAAACATACACAAAACTACAACGTTGACAAAATGTGGAAGTAAATAAAAGCAATGCAGATTTTATAAACTCTTTTTTCTCAGTGGACCATCATAAACAAATGTTTAAAATGAATTTTTATCTGTAAGAGTTGCGATAGGGCCAACAAAAAGCTGTGAAAGTGATGCTAAGATGAAACCACTTAAGTGTTTTGCAAATAAGTTATAACCAAAACCAGAATTTCAAACTGGTGAACCTCTATCCAAACCTTTTAATAATCTGTTAACCTAGTCATAGTCAGCTGTTTATTTGTACCACCTTAACAGTCTTGTTTCCCACTCCAGCTTCTCTTCAGATGAATTGTTGCTATCAGATTCAAAATTACCTTTTGTTTAATAATAAATGAAGTGCAAGAATGTGCCCTTTCGGGAAAATGTTTTATTAAAGGCACAACATACATTCACGAGACATGACACTAACAGGCGTGTTTTTAACAGCCATTAATAACAAGGCATTTTACACAAAATTAATGTTTTGTTAATAATAATAAAAGCAAATACAACAGCCAGCTTCCTTCATCTTATTTTAAACTAAAATGTCAGTGCAAAGTAAAAAATGTTAGTTCCTTCACTTCACCTAAAGAAAATGTGACACGGATTTAAAACTTGAACATCAAACAAAACTGATGAGTCTATACTGCCACCTTGAGGTGAAAGTATGACAATACCAATTCAATACTGATAAGATCTTTTCATTTAAAAATAAAACAAAACAATTAAAAAGGCACAATAAAGTATAACACCTTAAAAGCTTTTAGTAATATGTTAATAATTTATACTAAGTTACATTTAGTGACAGCAAAGTCGTGATGAACATCCTGTCTTATTTTTTGTCATGCATGAATATACTTAWTTTTAAACCAATGACAGATTTATGTCACAGTGATTATGTTTTTTTTTTTTAAACTCTTCATGAGTTTGCATAGCTTTTAAAATATGGCCAAGGTTAGTTTTGTGGGACTTTGGTTTCTGGTTATGCAGCTTCAAGGCTACTTTGTCGCGCTGGGGTGAAGTGGGTAAAAAATATGTTTTTCAGAGCTGCAGGCACTGCACTTCCGCGTCCTCCTTCAGCAGAGACGGGCTTCCTCAACCACACATGGTCAGGTAAAGCCACTGAGCAAAACAAGGAGTAAAGTTAATAAAAAAGAAATAAACAAAATAGTTTTACTTTACCGTCACTCACCTCAGTGAGATTCATCTCAGCCACTCCTGAGCCCTCTTTGTCAAACTGCTGGAAAGATCCTGTGAAATTCAAAATAAAAGCTGTGTTGCAAAGCTTCTCATACTATAATAACCTAATAATATTTGAATATTAACCATATAATTTAAAGCAGGATTACTCACTAAACATGGCTTCCAGCTTGACCAAGCAGCAGATGAAGTTATCAAAGTCAACCATTTCGTTCTCAGCATATCGAGCCACCAGAATCTGGTTCAGCTTATTATTCAGTTTAAAGCCTAAACATGAGAGAAGTTTAAAGCAAAACAGGTTTTCATGTCGCTTAGAATAACATCAGCTTTAGTACTCGTGGATATAACACCTGCTGCCTCCACAGCAAGACGCATCTCGTACGAGCTCATGGCCCCTGACTTGTCCAGATCAAATTCCCTAAAAATGCCCTGAAAAAGAAACAGAAATATTAGAAAAGGAAATATTGTGAGTTTAGGAGGGTGTCATTTACTTCTTACCAGCCACTTTCGGATCTTGTTCCAAAGGATCTGGAACTCCACCAGTCCTAAACGGGCACTGCCGTCTTTCTGATCAACAGTGCRTCAAGGGTTTAAACTGCACATTTACACAATCAGTGTAGGAAACCTTTTGGTTTATTTATGATAAATTTAAAAAAAGGATACATCCATCAGGTTGACCATCGTCCTACATGACTCCATACTGAAACCATCAGTTTTTAGATCTTTGTCTAAAAACATAAAAATATAAATAGTTTGACCAATAAAGCCTGAGAACCATGTAAAGGACAGGAAATAGATGAGAATCAAATAAAGAAAAAAAAACATACAAGCATAAAAAAATGTAGCAGCTTATTAAAATCAAACAAACTCACGTCTGGTGACAACCCTGTTTAGAATCGTCCTAAGCTCACGAATAGAAATCTCCATGTCCTGAAAAAATACACAAATTAAGTAATACTACCATTCTTTATTTCATTATGGTTAAAAAATAAATACAATTTTGTTCAGTAGAGTAACAACTAGTACCTAAAAACAATCCACAATTAAATGTTTTCTACAAAGAAATGAACAAACACACACTTACACACAAACRTAGATGCCCTTTCACCTTGGGTGGAGGTTAATAAAAAAAGAGCCCTACCTCTCCAGCTAGTTGGGCAAACAAAGCTTTGAAGGAGTCATCRATGTCCTCTTCATTCACTTCCTCCTGTAGAACCGTACAAAGGGAGTGATTTCAATGAAAAAATTAGATAATCTGCGATGCATTTCATGCTGAAGAATAAAACAAAAGCCCACCTCCTCTCCAAAATCAGCAGACACTTCATCATCCAGTTCTCTGAAATACAAAGATACTCATATAAAACTTCCATTCCTCTACATAATAAAGGAAAAGGCGAMTTAAACAGATTTGAGAGACTCTGTACTCTGTCTCCGACATCTTTTCAGTGAAAACCCTGAGGACAAAGTCGGCCTCTTTGCCRGGCTCGAAGGTGGAGGGCACGATGAGGTATTCTCCGGGGGGCAGGCGCAGCCGTGTGCTGACCTCCCGCAGGTTGATGAAAGTCTCGGACCGAGCRCAGGACGAATGACTCAGGAAGAAGTTTTTCTTCAGATGGACATTCTGGCAACCTCTGAACTGAGGTCAGCAGGAAAAACACAAATTGGAGATGAGAGAAATTTTGCCAACCAGTTCARAATTTATTTTAAGAACTAGAGAATTTGCATTTCCGGCAAAAACACAGTGTGAATGCCTAACGCTGAAAGATCTGTGCTGATTATCTTAAAAAAACAAGCTGAAACTAGCATAAAACTAGCTAAAAAAGAAAGTTGAAACTAGCAGAAAGAAACAGCAAGAAGCAATAAGAAGCTGAAATTATCACAAAAGGTAAGTTAAGATGAAAACACCTGAAATTAGTAGAAAGCAGCTAAAAGAAGCTTAAAATACAAAGATGAAAGAAGCACAAATAGTTGAAATTAGAAGCCTATTTGAAAGCTATTTATTTAAATGGGCTTTTGATTTTTAAATTTTAGTATTTTGTATTTATTTTTACCTTTTTCATTGTGGTTGTGTTTTTAACTAGCACTGGTTTATTGTACCCTTTATTCATTTGTTTTATGTTGTGAAGCACTTTAGTGAATGCAAGGCATTGTTGGAAAGTGATTTAATTAAAATTTATCATTATAAAATGTAAAAAAAAAAAAAAGGTAAGATCAGTTAAATAGAAGCGGAGGGAATCTAAATTTAGCACAAATCAGTTTTAAAAAAAGCAGTACCAGAACAAAAGGTAAAAAGTACAGTAAAGACTTGTGACCATTTTACAGGATTTTTAAAAATGATMAAAACAGCTCCATTTATTTTCAATGATGTAAAAAAATGGCTTAAACATAAACATCTCAAAAAGGACWAATTGCTGAAGTACCAAAAGTCATAGCCGAAATGTCCTGAAAGAGCTGAACGTTTTGATATAGAAATTATTGAAATGGCACAAAAATTGCAGAACAAGATAAATGCCAAAAAAACATGCAGAAAAAAATAAACACCTTAATATTTTTGAATCCTTGATAAACATTTACACATAAAACAAGATTCCAAAAATCTTCTAACGGTCACAATCATCAAAATTCCATTTTAAATTGCTTACCTCTTCTGGAATCTGCAAAATTTAAGGAGAAAATGTTAATAAATGAAGTAAAGCAACATAGATGTGTGTCAAATATAGATTTTACACAGATTTGCGCTTTTACCTCATAGAGAGCAAAACCAATAGTGTGCATGTCCTGACCATGGCGCCGGTATTTGCGGCGGTCCTTCTGCATGAGAGCTACCAAAAAACTGCACGCCACCTCATCGTCCTCAGGGTCGTCATCCTCTTCCAACAACGTGATCTTATACTGAGGGTTTATCCAAAACGTGTCTACACAATATGTATGCAGATAGTAAGCCTGTTTCGTGAGTAAATGTCTTTAAATATTAACTTTTTATATCATGAGCGCACATTTAAAAAGCTCGCTATTTGTGTCTGTGTGGTTTCCACTCACTGGGATGGTTCCTGCAGCCACCGGCGGTGCTGCCTCTCCTCCACATCCCGTAGAACTTCATGGTGTTCCAGTGGCTGAGGCTGTCATCACACAGAGCGTCGGGTGTCAGGTTACAGATCTCCAGCCGAGAAAACTGCCTCAAGAAATCATTGAAGGACATCCTGGGGGACGGAAGCAAAATTTGATGGTCATCATTCACGAGATGTTTTTTTTTTTAAGTTCCCTTTTAGCGCATCTCACCAAAACTCCCCGTCTTCCATGTTAAGATGAGAATCTTCTCGATCTGAGGGGTCGATTTCGTCCCATTCATGGGAGCTAGAAATGATAAATGATAAATAAACAGCAGAGGTTTATAGTAACTAAGTAAATTTACTTCGTTACAGTACTTCGGTAGTTTTTTTAAGGATTTGTAATTTTACCAATTATTTTTTTAAATAGCTACTTTTATTTCATTACATATAAAGCTAAAAATGATACTTTTACTTCTTTACTTTAAAATGTAACACCTAATTACTCATTAAAACATGTTTGAACTCATCATGAAAGAAGATGTTTCTGCACTCTAAAAAATTAAGTGTTGAATTTACTCGACAAAGTCGTGTCAGCTGGCTCCACTAAACCTAGTAGAGTAAAATGAACAAAGAAAATACATAAATTGCTCAATTTACTCAACCTGGCTGAGTGGAGCCAGTCTGGTTCAGTAAATTCAACAGTTTATTTCTTAGAGAGTGTGTAAAAAATACTTTTACTTTCCCAATTTTATGAACAGTTTTATGACTTTACTTGAGTAGTTTTCTCATCGGTGAAAATTATTTTTTACCAAAGTCATTTTCTGTTTATGTCATTTTACTTTTGCTTAGTGCTTTATAGACCTGTGGAAAACAGTGCAGGTGAGATAAACCTCTTAAAAGTCCAAACCTCAAAATCTAAGCAGTGAAGCAGAGACACGCTCACCTGTCACTCCAGGCACCAGTCCACTCCACCTGTCCCCAAGGGTTACGTATTCGGATCAGGCGAACCATGTCGCCGCGGTAGTCAACCTACACGGCAGAGTGATGGGAAATTTTAAACCACAGCTTTCACACTCTGCGATAATTGACTCGTACGACGACAGACCTCCTTCAGTCCGGTGACGGAGTAGGCGTGGCCCTTCACAAGCTTCTTGAACGTCACAGCCTCCATGTCGAAGGCACTGGTTATCTGTATTAATGTGAAACTAGGATTTACTGCTCAGTAAAGTTCTTAAAACAGAAATGAATGGTTTCTTAAAGGGATCCCTGATTAGTTGTAACATTAGACTTTATTTGATAAACATTTATTTTAACTGTAAAATAAAGACTGTAAAAATACTGTAGGCCGTTTAGTTTTGTAAATTTTTAAAAGTATATTTTAACACGGACGGAGCCATTTTATTTACACACAAAGCATTCTGGGTAAATGATGACATGGATAGGGCCTCGGTGTGAGCGAGCTATATCCACCCTGAAGGTTAATCTTGGACAATATCTGACAATTGACTCTTTTAAATGAAACCATAGAGCGTTGACGGAGAGAAGGTAGAAATGACTCAGCCTGTAACTGAAAATATGGATGGAGGACAACAGAGCTGCTTCATGGAAGAAGAAACTCAGCTTAGCCTGTTAGCCTTCGCGTTAGCGCCGATGCTATATTGCCTTATATGCATTAGCTCAGTGCTAGCACGACAAACCAACAAGCAAAACTGAGGTCCTCCATCCATATTTTCAGTTGCAGRCTGAGTCATTTTTGCGTTCCCCTCTCTGTCATGTGGATGGAGGACCTCAGTGGCAAGAGGAGGATGTGTAGCGCTGCATATATATGGTGATAGCGTCAGGGCTAACGCTAAAGCTAACAGGCTAAGCTGAGGTTCTTCCTCCATGAAGCAGCTCTGTTGTCCTCCATCCATATTTTCAGTTACAGGCTGAGTCATTTCTACCTTCTCCTCTCTGTTTCATTTAAAAGAGTCGATCATCAGATATTGTCCAAGATTAACCTTCAGGGTGGATATAACTCGCTAGCAGCCTCGCACCGGGGACCTATCCATGTCATCATTTACCCAGAATGCTTTGCGTGTAAATAAAATGGCTCCATTCATGTAATGCTATTTTAAAATTTTAGTTTAAAAATGATAAAAACTGAACAGCCTACAGTATTTTTACAGTCTTTATTTTACAGTTAAAATATGTTTATTAAATAAAGTCTAATGTTACAACTAATCATGGATCCCTTTAATGCAACAAGCCTACTCATGTATGTGTGTTTATTTCCAGCACGYACATCGATAGAGCAGCCCAGCAGGGAGCCTCTCTCCAAGGCTTTGCCGATTATCCTGTGGAGATCCCGAGGAGCCTTGCGCAGCTCGTACATCTCAGAAACACCACCCGTAAAGTCCTCAAAGCCTTCAGTGGTGCTTCCACCAGACAGAGCCTCGTAGGAGCCATTTAGCCTGATAGACAAAGAATGCATTAGCGCTGATTGCTTTTCACCACTTCAGACTGGCTCGCTGAATAAAACGTTTGCTGCAGGATGCAGCTGGACGGGTCGCTTTTAAAACACACTTGGCGTAAGCTTTTTCCAGCAGCGCACTCCAGAATTCATTGCCCTCAGCCGAATGGACGAACATGAGCTCCCCGTCTTTGACAGGTAATCGATCGTCGATCACAACATCTACCCAGTCGCCGAACTGCCAGAACTGCAGCACACAGYGAGAATCACARAAATCTGATSTGCTTACAAGSGGGAAATATGACAGGAAATGAAAGAACCTGAAAGTGGAAGATTCCGGCATAATCATCCTGGAAGGACTGGCCGTGTGGGACGACCCGATGAAGGAGCTTCTCGTTCAGGGTCAAAGAGGCGATGGCTGCTAGCAACCAGCAGTCACCTGCAGGGTGGGAGGAAGTATTCAGAAGCAGCAGCAAACTTCATGTTTCTACTGATTCGTGCAAAAAAATAAAAAAAAATAAATTAAAATGACACCTTACCAAGAGCTCCCTGACAGATATCTGTCCTGGTGGCACCGCCCACAATAAACTGAGGGTCACTGGCCAGCTCCTGAGGAGAAATGTTCATTTCTGAGTGACGAATATGAACATAAAACATAGTCTGAAATTGCGAGAATGTGTTACTTTTTTAAAGTTTGTTTGAAAGTTTGGTCTCATCTGTTGCACTTTGCTGCAATAAATTCTTTTCCTGCTGCTTTTTAATCACCCTCCACTAAAAACATCTCATGAACCGCAGGACGAATTTTAATGAAACTATCAGAAAATAATCATTAGATGTACATTTACAMCTGCTTCATTATTGGAGTTGACCTGATTCAAGATGTCTACCACAGTCAAATGACTTTAAATAACACAAWTATATAATGTAATTCAGTTTATTTTACAGATGCTGAGCTAAAATTGGATCTGGTTGCAGCTATTGTCGAGAATCGCATGTTTTCAAGRTTTGACCAAAAACATCAACAACGCTGACTCTTCTCATTCTAAGATGATGTCAGATTAAAAGTSTGGCAGTGACATGCATTCCTTCACCGAGTCGTTCGGCCTTGTAAACAAATGTCAGTGCAGAGGGAGCGGTCTGAGGGGATGAGATGCCAACAGCTGCAGTGGTCTGCAGAGTTCCTGTCCCAACTCGTTCCATTATTCTGTCYGGGTTTGCAGAAATGAAACGAGACAATGTCGCCGATACGTTTGTTTACACGGAGACGTGCATTCGAGCCGTCACTTGCGACACACAAAACCAAATTCCTGATTCTTGAGAAATCATTGATTAAATTATCTTTAGGTCTGTAATTTCGAGTTTGAATGTGAAAAAARGATAATTTTCTCACAGTTGGCCTCATCCACTCTACATCTCGGGTTTTGGAGGAATGTGGCGCGAGCTCCTTGAAGCCCAGAGACGGAGGCTCAGCGGGGAAGTAGGGATCCTCGAACAGGCAGCCCGACTCCACACATTCCTGCTTCAGTGCCTCGTAGTCCTGGTTGGCGAAAGGTACAGCTTGGTCCACGGAGCCCATGCCCTCTGCCCGGAGCCTGTTGGCATATATGCTTGCAGAGACCCCTCCAGTCAGATACATGCTGGTGCGAGACAAAAATACAGAGCTGGTGGGCAAGTGTGCACAGAGCCATTTAAAAATAGCAGCAGACTAATCAGCAGGATGGTCTTGCCTGGAAGTTATGGTACTTCAAAAAAAGGGGAGGAAGTGGGTTAAGAAAAATAAAAAGATTTGCCTTCAAAGTGGCTCCGTTAGCCGGAAAGTCACACAAAACCAAAGCTTTAGCCTTTAAAGAAACTGAGGTCCAATTATTTTCCTTTTACTTTTTTTGTGTGGGCACTTTAAAGGGTGTTTCATTGTTGGATCTCTGTATATTTAAACATGCTGAAATTTGCCTCTTTTAGTTTAAAAAAACTTAATATCACAATTCAGCATCTGTTTTGGAGATTTTTTAAAACATTGAGCAAAATTTTAATAAAGCTGGTGATTTAAAATAAAATACTTTTTTTCCTGTTTGTTTTTTAGTAGACAGATAATCTCAATATTTAAATACAGGCTACTGCTTTGAGAAGAAAAGGCTACAAATACACACATTTTACTAATAACCCTTTTAACATCAAACATATCTTAGAGGTATCCTGCAAGATAAATGATATGAAAACTTAAGAAGAAACCAATACAATTAAAAGCCTAGCAAATAAAAGAAGCATATGAAAAGCACATATATATTAATAAATAATAAGGGAAGACTAGTGCAGTATAAATCCACCACATGAAACGCAACAAACAACAGCAAAAGTAGAAGTTTGATACCTTATTTATGGGTAGGCTGGGAAAGAGAATAAGACAAAAAAAGACATCATTTATTGAGAGTATGTGATTTAATCTTCATGCCGACAACATTTTAGACAACTTATGCCAACTTGTGAATTTTTTATGTCTAAATTACTAATTAAAGTTATATATTTGATCAATCTGTTTGCATTACAGTGTTTACATGCCTAAAATAAGCTTCCAGTTGATTGCTTTTAATTACATCTTCAGTGTAGATGTCTTTAAAATTTAAACATGATGGCATACGTTATCTAAATTGTTTTAGTATGACAGGGCCTTAACACATAATTGCAGCTTTTATTGTCCTTACTGAAAAACAAACTTTGGAGTCAAAGTTTATCCTGAACAATATCAGCTAGCCAAGTTTGAATGAGTTTACTCGAGTAGTTTTCCAGATAAATTGGTTTCTATTCTGTAATGCAAGTATGCACTTTATGCAAATAAAGCACTTTTATATGTGTATGCTACTTGACACCAATGAATCAAAATTGTCAGACCCTTAAATTAATAACAGAAAAGAGGGGACGTTGTGCAGATTTTACTTAAAMCTTTATAAAAAAATTCCCACCAGTCTTTATGACATTGCAAAAAGCACCTTTAAAGGACTTTTTTTTACAATCTTCAGGTCAAGTGATCCTTTTTTCTGGACCTRTGCTGAGAAACCTAGGACATAATGCAGCTAAACTCTTTGTAAAAAGGAGTACCAATGAGCTGAGTCTGAAGGAATACTTGGATGGAGCTGAAGTGGAGAGATCAATGGAATAAATGATAGTGGTGGGGCGTGAGCTGGAAACAAACACAGATTGTTTAAAATGGTGACAACCAACCCTATTAAGGCCCCATGTGCCTGCAGGAATGTCCCTCTGTGCTGTCAAAGAAAAAATGTGGGACTGCTGCAGGCTTCAGACTAAATAGAAATCTCTGCTTTTCAACCAGTTAGAAGGTAAAAAAAAAACAAAAACAAAAGTTGGACCAATGACAGAGCGTGTCATCRTGGACTTTAACCTTTAACAAATTCCTAACCAAAATCTGCTGCACAGACTGTCTGACTCTTTATTTCTAGTCAGAGCGGGCTGCACCAGAACTATTACCGCACCTGTTCAGAAGTACAAGCAGGCCTGCCTTCTTCAYACGACTCGGCCTGCGGTTTAATTAACTTTATAGCAATAAATCACGGCGCTCATTCCCTTAAAAAAATCCAATGAACGCATTAAACGTGTCTTAATGTGGCTGTTGTTCTATGCTTTAACTAGTATCACAGCCATATTATTAGAGCACGCGCTGGCCTGTGCAACCAACAGCACCGTTAACCTCGCTCCGTGTAAACAAACACTTTTTTTCTCTCTGTTTTTTTTTTACTTAAAATATAACAAAACAGGCGGCACTCACCACAGTTTAGACCGACCGCTTCACTTTTTTTTAAAGACTCCTACAGGGATAATTKTGTCAAATCCGTGAATCTGTATGACAGGGGCACAGTCCAACCCCTCCGCTGYGCGCGCGCACGCACATTCACATTAAAAGGGGAGCGCGCGACCACTGAAGGACCAGCCCACTGGAGGAGGAGCCAAAGCTCAGCATCAGTTCTGCTTTTAGCCRCTAGAGGCGCTAATGGTCAAGAGTAAAAAAAATAATGAAAATCAGCTTAGTGAGTATGGAACAACATTATGAATAAATAATAAATATATAATGAGAGCACATTTTTAAAGGTGAATAAAAAAAAACATAATGACCTGAATTTTATATGCATTCAGTTATTTCCCAATTACATTGTGATATCATATGTATCTAATGCCTGTTGCAGTTTATTTATGTATGTATGTATGTATGTATGTATGTATGTATGTATGTATGTATGTATGTATGTATGTATGTATGTATGTATGTNGTATGTATGTATGTATGTATGTATGTATGTATGTATGTATGTATGTATGTATGTATGTATGTATGTATGTATGTATGTATGTATGTATGTATGTTTGTTTGTTTGTTTGTTTGTTTGTTTGTTTGTTTGTTTACTTACTTACTTATTTCTGAACAATTTGGTGTTTCATATTCTATAAGTGTGCACCATAAACAACACAAGGTGTGAACAACGACTACATATAAATTCATTAGATGAATAATTATCGTGTTAAATACTGTTTTAGATACAATTAATGTCTTTTTAAATCCAAAAACCTGCAACCACTACAACTGATAAAGCTGTTAAAGTTGCTGTATTTTTATGTATTTGTTTATTTAGGGTACTTGTTGGAAATTAAACATAAATATTATTAAATGAAGCAGTTTGAAAGAGTTTACTCCAGTAGTTTTCCAAAATGTACAAATACATAGTTTCAAAATGCAGGAACTCAGTCAATGTCAACGAAAAGCACTTTTGTCTGCACACTTTACTCAAGTCTGGGTGTGATCACAAAGCAATACATCTTTATTCCAAACTTCGCTTTCATGGACATCCCCACTGTTGACTTCTTTCCACCCATTTTAGCCATTTCAGTAAGTAAACAATGACACAAAGTAGTTGGCATCTGGTTACAAACTTTACTTGCAAACACATTCACGTAATAATAAGAAAAAAAATTGTGACAACATTATAAATGCTCGTTTTACATCAGTGACTCAGATAATATATTTATTAACTTTTTTCATGAATCTTATTTGTTTAAGTTAGACATTGTATGAACAGTTTAGTTTAACTCCTGATCAAACTGACTACGAGAACAATTTGTTTAAGGCTTTCGGTATTCAGAGATGAGGATGTAGGCAGAGAATAAGGATGCACTCGCAGACGGGGTGGGTCCATAATCGCCCCAGGTTATTAATTACAACATCTTGAATTTCCTATTTGTGCTCAGTTGCTTCAGTATCTTTGAGCAGCCATCCCTTTCACAACTCTCAGGTGTATTTACAAGTAAGCCAAGCAACTCTTTCGTAGAAAGGTCATTTCTCAACAACGTCTGCTTGTATACCACATTTTATAGGTTGTGCAAACAATTCTAAATCAAGCAGCTTGTTTGAACTGGGGCTCCCACCTTCAATATACAAACGCATCAGAAAAAAACAAGACTGTAAATGCTGCTTCTGCTTTAGTTGAGTTTAGGCGTGTCCTTGTTTTTGTTTCAGTTGTGGCCACTGTGAGTTCAGTGGGAATTTGCGTGAGGGTTGCTGACATCTGTACCATTTGTCTCACCTGTCCGTCAGAAGCTCCTCCTCCACTGTTACCTGACCCCAACGCCAGAGGTGGTTATAAGAACTCTGAGTCAAAGGCATTTCTGGGTAGAGCTCATTTGACTGAAGGTCAACACAACCCTGCAGGTTCACAGACTTGAGTGGTGAAAATGACATCCACAGCACGCCGAGTGGCCCATCAGCAGGAGAGAGCAGATGGCATCGGCACCAACGAGACGGCCGTGAAGTTTGCTGGCCAGGATTACGAGACTCTTCTGCAGAAGTGTCTGAGCAGTGGACGCCTGTTTGAAGATGTCTCTTTTCCAGCTGAGAGCAAGTCTTTGGGCTACAACGAGCTGGGGCCCTTCTCRCCGAAGACAAAGGGCATCGTTTGGAAGAGACCAACGGTAGGAAACACCCGGTTAAGACCTCATRGTTGAATTTAAAAAATCTTGATTTTTCTGTATCTCTTACAGGAGATTTGTTCCAACCCAAAGTTCATTGACGATGGAGCCACGAGGACTGACATCTGTCAAGGAGCTTTGGGTAAGTGTGAGGAAATGAAACAGATGAGAGAAACATTGAGAGTTTAGTGCTCCGAAAGAAACCCTCCACCCATTCAGCCACCAAGCATTTATTTGTTGAGAACGCCCTACATGTTTCAGAACAGTTATTTCTGATTATTTACCTTTTCTGTACAGGTGACTGCTGGCTCCTGGCTGCCATTGCTTCTCTGACTCTGGACCAGCAGATCCTGGCACGAGTTGTGCCCCCTGGACAGAGTTTCACCGAAAATTACGCCGGAATATTTCACTTTCAGGTGACATAAAACCCTTTTTTTATCGGACATTGTCCTGATCTTAATGTGTTTYGTTTGTAGTTATTTATTTTTAATTTTTTGTAATGTTTTCATGTTCAGCAGGTTTTCTGTAGTTCCTCTGTGTCATTAGTCATATAGTTCCCTTAGTCAGCCGTATCGTCCATCTATCCACCTGCTATCAGCTCACCTGCCTCTGCTCCACCCCTCCCAGTGTTTTTCTCTCTCTGTTCCTCGAATCATCTGTTCCCAGAATTCTTTTGTTCTCTGTTGCAATCCGGTTTTAGAATAATTGAGCYCAAGAAAGCAGGAGTTGGGGGGGGGGGGGTGCGCCATAAAGAGGCTGACATGAAAGCAATCTGTTTACAATCAAAAACCTCAGAGGAGGGCACAGAAGGTAACCAGACATGGTGAAYATGCAAAGGCCAACTGGTGAGTGAATGGAAGCAGAGGGATTAAAAGGAATGAGGATGAGGACGTGACAAACAGGTGAAATGAAATGAGGCAGGGTGCAGATGTAAGTGGACAGGGCAGGAGTTGAGAAGCAGATGTAAATGAGAAAGAATGAACTGAAAACAGGGAGAGCACAGAAACCAAACTCCAAAATAACCCCCCCAAAACAGAAAACTAAACATTCATCATGACATATGGGGCACAACGTGTAAAATGAAATGTCAAAAAATGCCACGAACACATTTTCATTATTTTGCCTACTTTCTGAGTGTAACATCCTAGGTAAAAAAAATCCACTATGTATGGTCCTTTTTTTTCTTTCTGTTTTGTGCTAAGTGAAAACGTAACAAAACATRAAACTTGTTTTTGTAGCCTTTTTTCAATTTTGTTATTGTCGTTCTTTTAATTTAGTTTTAAAACAAAACAAAAMCCTGTTCCTCATTTTAATTTGAAAAAAATAAYGGAACTAAATGTACCAGTGCCTAAATGTTGAACACTTATATTTAATAATTTGGGAATGAAACACAGCCTTTGCTGTTGGTGCAGGGCTTTTGTTGTGACGTCATCATCCTGAGACAAAAGCAAACGCTAATGCTGCAGAAGATGGCGATTCAAGTTTCGATTCAAAATGTGTTTATTGAAAACTATATGGATGGTACCTGTGGTCCAGCAGTTTGAATTTCAGCTCAGACATCACCTTCGACTGCAAGTTTGATGTCTTATAGGAAAGCGTTAGCAGCGTTAGCAGCGTTAGAGGTCACTTTTGTCGCAGGATGATGATGTCCTAAGCTGTGCAATAACGATAAAGGTTACATTCCATTCTGAAATAATTAAATGTAAAATTTAACATTCATACACAACATTTACATTAAACTTTTACATTTAAATTTTGTATTTAACATTTAGACGTAACATTTAACATTTAATCAAAGTTAGCAGAATGTAAAAATGAGCTAAACAACAATAAAATRTTRAYGGAAATTTTTGCTRGGATTTTACACTCAGRATGTGAGCTAAGTAATGAAGATGTWTTAGTGACATCTTTTATCATTTTATTTTACACTTTTACAGTAGCTCAGATTTCCTGCTCMTTGGGTTTTTGTTTGCTCTTGTTTTTTATGTAATTAATATGTTGCCTAATCAGCTATTTTTGTTGTTGTTACTGAAGAAACAATCTTACAAATCTTTTTTACCCCACCTGCTAAAATTTATTAAAATGCTAAATTTCATACACAGTTGGACGTGGCTTTTTGAATGAGTCATGGCAGATACAAGTTCAGCAGTTTGTTGGTTTAACGCTGTCACTCTGACGTCCTCTCTCAGTTCTGGCAGTACGGGGTGTGGGTGGATGTTGTGATTGATGACCGGTTACCTACCAAAGATGGAAAGCTTCTGTTTGTCCACTCAGCTGAGGGCTCAGAGTTTTGGAGCGCTTTGATGGAGAAGGCTTACGCCAAGTATGAAATCCTCCTCTTTGTACATTTTAACAAAACCGTCATGCAGAATTAACGTACAATGCCTAAAATTCCTCTGTGTCCGACAGGGTGAATGGCTCCTATGAGGCCTTATCAGGAGGAACTACCATTGAAGGTTTCGAGGATTTCACAGGAGGGATTGCTGAAACGTACACCTTAAGCAAAGCTCCTCCGCAGCTCTTCCAAATCATTCAAAAGGCCCTGAATCTGGGTTCACTGATGGGTTGCTCTATCGACGTGAGTCTCATCCGCTTTTATATTTGAACATCAAACACAACACAATAAAAAGTGTCTGAATTAAGTGTCTTATTTTGTTGCTTTAGATCACAAGTGCCCGTGAAACAGAGGCAGTGACAGCRCTAAAGCTTGTAAAAGGACACGCATACTCTCTTACCGGTGCAGAAGAGGTTGAAATTCTTTTGCTATTCAGCTTCTTGGAAAATTACGCGCACTTTGATTTGCTGCATTGTCACAGGATCTGTAATTTCTCTAATTGCTCTCGTGTGATCTTCCTCTTCACGCCTGCTTTCGTTCTCCAGGTTCATTTTCAAGGCAAGCCYGTTAAGCTGGTTCGTATCAGGAACCCTTGGGGAGAAGTGGAGTGGACCGGGCCCTGGAGTGATGGGTGAATATTTATGAATCTAAAAATGCAATTTAATAAATGCATTTATTTATAGATTTTTTTCCCCCCCAAACAGATCCAAGGAATGGAGCTACATCAGTGCGGATGAGAAATCAAAGTTGAACAATGTGGCCGAAGACGGAGAGTTCTGGTACGGCCAAACGTTTATCATTTTTAAAGCTGTGTGTACATGTTTGTTTGCCTTCCTGTCAGTAAAATATCTTGTGAAACCGTGGACAGATTTTAACGAAGCTCTCAGAAAGGAATCATTAAGTGCCTCCTCTCCTCAGGATGGCCTATTCAGACTTCATCAAGAACTTCTCCAGACTGGAGATCTGTAACTTGACCCCAGACACGCTGGAGAGCAACGACATGGGCCAGTGGAACAACTACCAGTTTGAGGGCATGTGGAGGGTCGGTTCCACTGCTGGAGGCTGCCGCAACAACGCAGGTTAGACCGAAACCACGAGAGCCGCACGTCTGAGCAACTGGTTCTGTTTGGGTTTAACRTCTCTGTGGGTTCCAGCCACGTTCCCATACAACCCTCAGTTCCTGGTGCATCTGGAGGACGTGGATGAGAACCCTGTGGATGGAAAGGATGGATGCACCTTCCTGGTGGGGCTGATGCAAAAGGGCGGACGATTGCAGAAGCGGCTCAACCAGGACATGGAGTCTATTGGCTTTTCTATTTATAAGGTTTCTTTATGTTTTAATTAAGAAAAAAGTATTTTTGTGTYAAGAAATCCCATAATCTGATGTATATATGTTCCCTTTTTACAGGTCCCAGACGAGGTTTGTAGAATTTTGAAGCAAAAAATCACATCAAAGTGTCAGAAATAGATTGATACTGTGCTGAAGCGTCTTTTTCCTGTCAGTACAAAGGCAAGAACAACGTTCACCTGGGCCCCGAAGTGCTGCTGCGTCAGAGGCACRTAGCCATAAGCACGTTCATCAACACCAGGGAAGTGTGCGAGCGCTTCAAACTCCCTCCTGGAGAATACGCCATAATTCCCTCCACCTTCCCGCCTCACAAGAACGGCAGCTTCGTTCTCAGGGTCTTCTCTGAGAAAGCCGCTAACACCAGGTATCTGTGATGAATCTAGCAGCATGTCGAAGCACAGGTCTTTTATAAAATGACTGACCATTGGTGACAGTCTATTTGTACTCTGAATGCTATTTTTATTTAGAAAAAAATAAGCTGTTTTTTTTACTCTAGACCACTTGAAGCAGACATTCGYGCTGTAATAAAGGAGGTAAATTTGATTCTTTTTTTTGCACAAAGGAAAAAAGTGTTTCACTTGATAATGACTTTATATTTGTTTTGACTTGACTTCCACAGAAGGAGATATCWGAAAAGGATATGGATCCTGAGTTCAAACGCATCTTCAAGCAGATTGCTGGCAGTGTAAGTTTTAAGAAACACACCTGAACTTGCTCTGAACCTCTGCCTCCATAATAAAAGATCTAATTTGCRTTTTCCAAACAGGACATGGAAGTGTCTGCCTTTGAACTGGTTGAGGTTCTTAACAAYGTCGTCTCACACCGTAAGCAGATTGAGGAGTTTTTTATTCATTTATTTATTTATTTTTGTTTTGTTTTGTTTTTCAATGTTAACATCTGCTTTAGCAAATTATTTTTAGTTTTTAATACATTTAGTGTTTTTTCTCTTATTCTGGTACCTTAAGCTAGACACTTTTGCAGGTTTTAGTTTTAGCTGTTTTTTTTTTCCCTATTTTCAGCCTGTGGCTAGTCTTTGGCTACTTTTAGTTAACATTTTGACTTTAGAATCTTTTAGCTATCATTTTGTTACAAATAAGATTTAATTAGACTTTTCTTATATTTATTTTCCATGAAGCCTTTTGCTACCTTTAGCTAATCGTTTGCTATTTTCAGCTAATCTTTTGCTACCTTTAGTGATCCTTGTTCTTCTTTAGGTTTTAGCCATTATTCTGCTGCTTTAGCTTTTAGCTAGTGTTTTTCTATTTTGACTAGCATTTAGCTATTTTTGTCTTTTAGTTAACCTTTTTCCACGTTTAGCTTTTAGCTAGTATTTTGCTGCTTTTGCAAGTTAGCAATTTGTAACTTTACGTTTTTAATAATAATAATACAACAAACTTATGTAGTGGTTTTTAGGATACTCAAAGATCCTTTACAAGAAAATAAAAATACAAATCTAGCAAATCAATACTTTCGACTTTTAGCTAGAATTTTGCTGTTTTTAGCAAGTGTAATGCTCCTTCTATCTTTAGAAACTCAGCTTCAGCATCAATAAATACTTTCCAGCTTTGTCAGGGACTCAAAAATCACACTGAGTTTTTGCAGGTTTTTCTTTTTTGATAATTTCATCCAGGTTCTGACATCAAGACWCATGGATTCACCCTTGAGACGGGTCGCCTCATAGTCAGTCTGCTGGACGTATCCTTATTAAAAAATGAAGCTGAAGGCATTAACCTATCATAGACATCCAGTTAGATTTTTTTWAATTAACCTTAATTTTCTCCAGAAAGATGACAATGGCACATTGGGAATAAAGGAATTCCATGTGTTTTGGAGCAAACTTCAAAAATATCTGGTAAGGAGTGATCTAYGTATAAACTAAAATGAATGTTGTTGTGTTGGAAACTTACAATCAGCGCTGTTTGGGTCACGTAGGAGATCTTCAAGAGTCACGACTCGGACCACTCTGGCACGATGAGCAGCCACGAAATGAGAGAGGCTGCAACCAAAGCAGGTAACAAATGATGCAAACAAACAAAAGCTTGGAGTAAATTGGTGAAATGAACTGCAGAAATGCAGAATCTGGATTATTTATGTGTTTTTAAAACTTCTTATACAGTATATTAAGAAATATTGTATATTCATCAACTGTTTTGCCCTTTATTTTAAAATGTTAAAGAAATTGCTGTGATCCAGTCATTTGTGCAAATATTAAGCTAAAAATGGGTATGGTAGTAGCTGAGAGGGCTTCATCTTTGGCTATATAGAAGCAGGCCTTTAATTGACSTAGTTTTGGGTTGTGTTGGGAATGGGGTGCCAAGTGAAAAATGTCACTAACACATTTTCATTATTTAGCTCACTTTGAGTGTAAAGTCCTGGTTAAAAATATAACTTTATTGTTATTTAGTTCACTSTCCTAACATTTAGCTGACATTTACTAAATGTAAAATTATATGTTCAATTGTAAATCCTTAATCTAAACTTAAAAATCAAATGTAAATATTGTGGCTAAATGATAAAGTTTMCATTTGAGTATTTCGGAATAGAGCACAGCCTTGGCTGTTAGTGTATTGCGTTTGTTGTGACGTCAACATTCTGCGACAAAAGCAAGTGCTAATGCTGCTAATGCTACGAAACATCAATTTTGCATTTGGTTTTCAAGCTGATCTTCAAAATGCTGGACCACAGGAACCATTCATATTCTTTTCAATGAACACATTTTGAWTTTACATTTTTGATACCCACTTCWGCAGCTTTTTCARCTTTAGCAGCGTTAGCATTGTTAGCAGCGTTAGCGTTTGCTTTTGTCACAGGACAATGACGTCACAAAAAAGTCGCACTCCAACAGCAAAGGCTGTTTCATTCTAAAATTCCTAAATTTCATCATAATTTAGCTGCAACATTTGAGATCTAACTTTTACATTTAGATTTGGAATTAAAATTTCAGTAAAAAATTAGCAAATGGCACCCCATATCTTTGGGAGACATATATCTGACGTTGGCAGTTTAACACAGCTTCATATGAGCAGATGGTGCTTTATCTCCTGAGATTTTGTGTAACCTAACCAAGCACAGAAATTACATACAACGGCTTATTGGCTCAKCTGTTTGTGTGTGTGTTTATGTGTGTGTGACATGTGAGAACAGTTACTGACAAACTAGAAAATCCTGTTTGGGGACTGCAACRCCCTGCACTCAGGCATGTGCACTCGCACAAACAAAGCGTGCATGTGTGACACCAGGAAATGTATATCTGTTGATATATGACACTTTCTAAAACCAACACCTCTATAAGATCAGAACCAGTCTTCACCTTTGAAAATGACCCATAAAAGCTACAATTGTTTTTCATGTTGTAGGGTTTCAAGTCAACAATGCCCTGCTGCAGGCCATTGTCAACCGTTACGCCGATGCTCAGTACGCCATAGACTTTGACAGCTTTGTAGGCTGCCTCGTTAAGCTGGAAATGCTCTACAGTAAGCCACAGTAAAGTAAACGTCAGGTTTTACCAAAAAAAATCATCTCTGATTGAGCTCAGAYGAGTGTGTTTGTTTGTCTCTTTGCCAGAAATGTTCAAGACCCTGGAAAGAGACAACTCAGGGAAGATCGAGCTGAACTTGCAGCAGGTTTGAGAGAAAATAACCCAATCAGGTKTGGATTTAATCTGCTCATATAAGCTCACTGTATATAATTGTGTTTCCTCCCACAGTGGATGTGCCTGGCCATCTATTAGCTCTGAAAGCAACAAGCAAGATCCAGAAAGAAGAAGCAAATTGGATGCATTGTTCATTCTTTTATGCCAAATACGGATAAACGTGTGTTACTGACAAAGTTTTAAGCAAATTTGATACTCGTGCATTTGTTATTCAGCTCTTTGGCTGCTGTGAAATCAAAATAAATGTCACCCATATTAAATCATAAACGTTACATGTGTGGACTACTTTTTTTCTTTAACGTTCGGTTTTTTTGAGAGAAACTGTTAAGTCACTTACAGAAAAAAAAGGTTCCTGGGTGAGAGAAAGCTTTCTGATGGGATGTGATAGTGTGAAAAAACACTCGGTGTGCACATATATGACACAGAACCTGTCTAACCGTACAGAACAGAGACACACGAACAGAAAGCAGCAGGCAGGTGAAGGAACTCCCAACATGTCAAGCGTCGCCGTCAAGCTTCAGCACCGCCGGGAGAAATCCCAGAGAGTTGGATCCAACTCTCAGGCTGTAAAATACCTGAACCAAGACTGAGGAGCTGAAAAGGAGCTGTCTGGAAAGAGRTCAGCTGACTGAGGATGAATGCTTCGAGCCCCTGGTGACGTCTTTGGGCTACAACGAGCTCGGACCAAATTCTTACAAAGTTCAGGGAGTCACCTGGAAGAGACCAACTGTGAGTGTCGTGCTGAAACATAAAATGTATCTGTCCATTTAAATAGCTGCTCTGTATTTAAAGCTCGAAGAGAAAAGGGTTTGCTGTTTTTTTGTTTCCCTRTGAAAGGTGTCTCAGATAACAGCCRATTACTTAACTGGGAAAAGGTTTGGTGCAAACTCCTGACGTGTTTTCAGTCATCGTGCCGATTCTGATTATAAAAACCAAAAGATTAACCTTTTTGGTCAATACGATCAAATTGAAAGTCAAAATATGATAAATAATTATGAGTTGAAAAATGGAAATCACTTACAGGAGAATCACTGTAATTATTTCTTTTTTTAGGAATTGTGCTCAAGTCCAAAATTCATCAGCGAAAACGCTACAAGGATATTTGCCAGGGAGCACACACACACACACACACACACACACACACACACACACACACACACACACACACACNCACACACACACACACACACACACACACACACACACACACACACACACACACACACACACACACACATCCTTGTGCATGCATCAAACTGAGGACATTGACTTACTTCCATACTTGTAGGTGCATTTATGCCTAACCCAGACATTTTCTCTAACACTAACCATTACTAGTCTATACCTAACTCTAACCTTAACCAAAAATTCATACCATACCTCTACAACTAGTAGAGTGCAAAAAAGTGAGGACCAGGAAAAGGTCCTCACTTTACATCAAAAACTTCACTTTGATAGTAACTATTTTGCAAGTAGTCCTCACTCTGTAGCAAAACACACACACTGCATGTTTTGTTTCATGTATTTTTCATATTGAACCCCTTCACAATATGGATACCCTTATAAATAGGTACTTGATAATACCATAATTAATTCAGCTATAAATACTTATTAAACCATAAATAGAAAATAATATAAAAGCATCAAATACATAAAAGGCAACAATTAACATTATTTTTTAAAACAAATAAACTGAGAAATGTGTGAAAAAAAGGGGGGAATTATTCAAACAAAAGCACAGTGCAGCCTTTTTTTAATGAATAATTTAAGGAATTTTCAGTTTTATGTACCAGAGAATTGCAAAGCACCTTTTGTCGGATACTGTATTTCAACACTATTATTTCATGAGACACATTTCCTCCTGTAAATATTTTAATGGCTTTGCATGCTTATCTTAGCCTGTCCGATGAACAGAAACACACTGAGTTTGTTTCGTCAGTAAATACCCTACTGTTTCATTAAGTCTGTTTTTACCACTGAAAACTGCTTTATCTTTACACAACACCGCCTGTCAGTGTGTACCAAACATTAACACAACTCTGTCTTCTCTGCCGACACCCAGTTGGCCACAAATCTTCTATAAGCTGCTGACAGCGAGTTGCAACGAAAGATTAGACTTTGCACACCTGAGGCTTTTGTGCAATTGATGGCTCCGCCGGTGTTGTTCCCAACCTTTTTARACTTGTGTACCCCCTGAGCCATTTTGTCATACCACTAGTACCCCCTCTGTCAAATGTAATGATGATTTTTACCTTTTTGAGTTATCACAGGTTTCTCTCTGCACAACGCTCTGAATCAGGTGATTGTGGTTCGCTACAGTGACGCCAACCTCACCATCRACTTTGACAATTTTGTGTGCTGCCTGGTTTGCCTGGAGTCACAATTAAGTGAGTTTTGTTTGTTGTTGTTGTTTTTATATGGGCAGATTTTAATCTTGCAAACATTACAAAACTCAGATTTTTACTTTACAACATACACTTTCAAGGCCATGGACAAGGATGAGGACGGTTACATTGAGATGAATTTCATGGAGGTAAGAGATCATCTATTTACGGATGGATGGATGGATGGATGGATGGATGGATGGATGGATGGATGGATGGATGGATGGATGGATGATACAAGAACCTGCTCATGCTTTCATCTACAGTGGATGAATCTGGCGATGCTGTAAAGGAGCTGGAGAATTCACCATTTGACATAAATAATCTTCACTTCTGAACATTTGCTGGGTTTGTCTCACTCACATTTAGATTTCTTCTCTACATTTTAATTTTAGCGGGGGGAATAAGGTACTAAAACTTTTATTATTTGCAAGCAATAAAATACACAATATCCCATCAACATACATGTGATTATTATTTTTATTTTTAACATTTGGTTAAAAACTTAAGTTAAAAATGTACTTATTGGCTTTTTTAGAACCTTAAAATTGGTATGAACAAGTTTAATATTTTCAGTTCAAAAATCATCACTAAAAGAAGGATCTTAAGTTTATTTCTAAGTTTCATTTAAAAAAATGTCCTATTTATGTTTACAGGTGCTGGTCATAAAATTAGAATATCATGAAAAAGTAGATTTATTTCAGTAATTCCATTTAAAAAGTGAAACTTGTATATTATATTCATACATTACATACAAACTCATATATTTCAAATGTTTATTTCGTTTAATTTTGATGATTACAAATGACAACAAATGAAAATCTCAAATTCAGCATATCAGAAAATTAGAATCTTGTGAAAAGGTTCAAAATGGATGGCACCTGGTACCACACTCTAATCAGCTAATTAACTCAAACCACCTGCAAAGGCCTTTAAATGGTCTTTCAGTCTAGTTCTATAGGCTACACAATCATGGGGAAGACTGCTGACTTGACAGTTGTCCAAAAGACGACCATCAACACCTTGCACAAGGAGGGCAAGACACAAAAGGTCATCGGTAAAGAGGCTGACTGTTCACAGAGCTCTGTGTCCAAGCACATTAATAGAGAGGACCTGTCCTTCAGCCAACCTCTAGGGGGCACCCCATCCTTTGTTGCTTCAATTTCCAGCTTCCAGCCCTWTCTCTAGTTTAAAAATCTGAGAAAATGCCATTTTCCATTAACTGTAACTACTTTAAGGACGTTTCCCCTCAAAAGTCCTCAAGTTATACTTGAATAATCTTAGTTCCAGATCTGAATCTGGTCAAAGAGTTGATTGTTTGTAACCTTTCTACAGAATTCACCTTAAAACATTTGCACTATCCATTTAAATGTACAGTACACTGCAGGAACTCCATATTGTCCATCATTCCTTATGTTGAAATCATGTTCCATAAAATGCATGAAAAAAAAAACTCTTAAAATATTCATACATTATGACAGATCAGTTTTATGTATATGCTTTAATAACTCAAATAGGCAAAATACAGAAACAGTTTGATTAATAATCTATTTTTGTGGGGTCCTTACATGTTTGTTTGATTCATGAGGTATGAGTTTAATTGTTGCTTTTCCCAATAAAACGAAATAAAGAAAAAGTGTAAACCTAAACTGTTGAATTTAACATTTATTTTGCTATTTTTATGTGTGTGCACCTGAAAACTGAGCTCCCTTCAGACATTCTGGATCTGGTTTTTGGTTAAACATCACACACAGTATTAGAGAAAAGCAGGTTAAGTTTAGTACCTGCGATGAACCAGCAGATGTCCCAGTCCTCACAGACTTACTTTAGTTCCTGTTCTCTTGTCACTCACTGGCTGGAGGCCAAACCCTGCTTGCTGCAGCATGAAGTTTTCAGAGAACCATGCAGCAGTCATTTCCTGCCCCGCGCGGYTCTGAGTTGTATTTCCTCTTTTGCTACTTTTAAAAAAAGCTGCTGGCTGGCTGCCTTTTGCTTCGGTAGACAAGAATGACCACGCTTACAATGACAAGCCGTAAAACACGTTCCCACAAAATATTTTCTTTCTTTCCTGGCTAACAAAAGTGGTCCCTGAAACTTTTGAATGGGTGATTTTTGTGATGAAGACAAATTATCTGTTCAAGGAGTAAAAAATAAAATAACACTTTTAAAATAAATGTTTCTGTTCCAAAAGCTGTACTGTTTAACCACGTAGTTAGCAAAAGCAAAAACTAAATTCATGAAGTTTCAAAAAGGAAACTGTGACCTCATTTAAGAGGTGCTTCACAGAAACAGATCTGTCTGAGCAGGAAGGTGGACATCATCCTGCGACGGCAGCATTAATGCAGAATATTGTGATTAAAAACAACWATTTGTTGCATCAAGTTGCTTCCATGTGGCTCCTGTAAGATTGCCAGAATTATGTTTTTCTCTTTTTTTTATTTATTTTTTTGGGGTGCCATTCCAAAAATATCAGTGGCCCCTCATCAGGCCTTCCCTTTGAAAACTTTCTGGTGATGTTTGTGTTCATTTATGGCTGAAAYTGCCACAAAAAGGGTAATAATCTGGAGAACAGGGCCTTTGAAGGATAGCAAAGAGGTGACACAGACTTCTCAGACAGGTCACAGTTATGCACAAAAGATAAGATTCTTTTTTGGTCAAACAACTCCCAGTGAAGTTTTTTAACAACACTGGGTTACATACATAAATTATATTTTAGTATTTTACTCACTGCAGTGCAGGTAAGCTCAGATGTGCTGATTTCTGGAAGCTCTATTCCAGATGTGGGGCGGCGGTACACTTTTGACTCTGTAAACCATAAATCCACACAAAGGGAGGAAAGCCACTGYGATGATGAGGCAGGCTATCTGAAAATATAAAAATAGACGCTGTGAAAAAAAGGCTTGATTCTCCACTTAAATTACAGGGCTGGCAAGAAGAGCTGCATTCAGTGGATCACTGTTCAAAGATGAGTATTTTTGCTCTGTATACTGATGCTGCTGGGCAATACAAAAAAAATCAGCTAATGTATGCAAGGCCAAAAATAAGAACACATTTCCTCTAAAGATTAAGCGCGGAGTGTTTGAACACAATCTGAAAGCTCAGATAAGAAAGGTTCTTTAGTTGTGTTTGTTTTAGCTGAGAAATATTATGAATGAAACCAAGAACTACATAAATCCTGGTRAATACCCTGACATTTTCTTATGTTTGGACCTATTTATGTAGTCAGTCTGAACAAACAGTAAATCACATTAAATTACTGCACCTTGTCATTGGCGGCCAGTAAAATTCAGAATGGATCGAAAAATATTTGCTTACCTAAATTCAACGTTATAATTTAACTTATGACCCTTTATTCAACGAGTCAGACTGTTCAATCCCCCAAAAAAACATCTTAAATATGCTCTGATCCAGTTTTAAAAAGTGAGAAAATGGGCATTTTTCATTATTCAGCTCACTTTCTGTGCGTAAACTTCTAATTAGAAAATGACCACAAAACATTTTATTATTCAGCTAACTGCTCTCACAATTTGCTCATTTTTACTAAATGTTAAATTTAAATTTTAAATGTTTTGAAAACATTAAATCCTAAATCTAAATTTGAAAGTTAAATTTTGCAGCTAGCTCATGATGTCATCATCCTGCGACAAAAGCAAACGCCAACACCGCTGAAGATGGCCTTTAGAATTTAAATTCAATACACTATGTTCATTGAAAACAATACAGACGGTGCCTGTGSTCCAGCAGTTTGCAGTTCAAATACCTTGTAGGGAGCRTTAGCAGARTTAGCAGCTTTAGCTTTGCTGTTGACAACGGATGATGACATTGAAAAAAAAAGTTGCGCGTGAACGGCAATGGCTGGGTTCTGAAATGCTTAAATGTACACATTAACATTTAGACACATTTACATTTTAGTTTACATTTATTAACTGGGAGCACATACCTACGTTGAGGCATTTTCTGGAGTTAACTGGGAACAGAGACTTAAGTACGAAGCATTTCCGGGTGCTGTTAACCGGGTGTAGAGACCCGAGTCCGTAGCATTTCTGATGAGTTAACCCGATGCATTGAGTCGACCCGTGAGTCCAAAGCATTTTCGGTGATGCTGCAGTGTTTTTTTAGTGCTGTCGTTAGATTAAAAAATTGAGAGAATAATTAATTCTGATCTGTAATTAATTAATCTAAATAATCTATTTTTTTAATCTTGTGATTTTACTTTCAGAGCGTTTAGCAACTCGTTGACTTTTTATCAATAGTTTTTTACTTACTGACTACCCACTGATTTTAATCTGCCAGAAAACATCTGGGATTGGGGTTATTTTGGCCTTGGATTCGKGGACCTAAGTCTGAGGTGTTAAATCATTATCATTAGGAAGCTTGGTGTTGAGTGACAAGGGGGTCAGGGTTCCCTTTCTGTCAACATGGCCCCCCTATTTCCTTGTTACACCCCTGGACTTTTCACATAAGTCCATGTTTTGCTATTTAACAAGTCAAATTAGGAGAAACACATTTTTTCTTATTAGTTTTCTTTTTTATCTCCCTTTAATCAGAGCAGTGTTGACAAAACAGCATTTTTGCAGCACTTGTGAAGGCATTACAATTTCACATTTCTCTGATTTGTCCTGTAAAACATTAAACATGTGCATCTCTATCTAGGAACCAATTATTGACTGCTGTTTCTCATTATTTACTGTCATGTGACATCTGAGTTTCAACAGGTAAATTCTTTTGAGATGTAATCGCCCTGCCTTTTACCTTAAAAGGGCACCGAGCCTCATCTCAGCAACAGATGAGTCAAAAAAGTGTGGACAGGTTTGGTTTCCATATAAGGGTATTTAGTCACCGCTCCCACTTTCCACACCTGGAGCTTCACGTTGAGAAACATAATGACTCTATGACTCTCTTCCAAACTAAAATGCCTAAAGTGACAAATAAGTTCAAACTGAAAGAAAACGAAGCAGCTGCAAAATGCACTGATTTAGGCCTCATTTGTAGCTTGATTTAAGGCTGAGGCTGCAGCTGAAATTGGGTCACACCTGCGAAAAAGGGGGCGTGCCCACATTTGTAGGTGTGCTCATTTAGCAGGGCTCCTCCTTCATATGAGTCAATCTGCAGTTCCTTTTCCTTATGACCCTTCAGCGTTTTGACTGCTGCAGCCATTTCTSTCTGTCTGCTGCCTGTTTCCTACACACATCTGAAGCAAGATGGTGAGTAATGCTGCCCGGCCTGCGGGTCAGGATTTGTTTGTAATGTGTCTGTTAAACTACTGTTTAATTCTCTAACCAGAGAAATGTTTTATTTTAATTTTTTTGACTGTTTCCTCATTGCTCAAATATTTATGGAAAAAGTGTCAAAATGTTGCAACCACTTTTTAATTACTTGAAAGGGTTTCATTTTGGTGCTTTTTATTAAGGGTAATTTCAGTGAGAACCTGATCTGGTGAAAAGGGGTTAGTTCAAGGTGTGGTTTGCTTTCAAAATGGAGGGAGCTTTGTTTCAAACTTGCTCTGAGAGCCTCTCTTGGGTGGTGTTTCTTGTGCTAACATGTTCCTCAATGACTGGAATGTGACAGAACCGAGGGCTTASAAGCTCCTAGGAAAAGAAGCACTCATTGCATGCTGCTGCCAAAATTAAAAACCTTGTAGAAGTCATGCACATTTACTTTTTATTTTTATGGGGCTGGGACTTGTCAGTCAGTTTGGTTCTAAAGAGCTTCCTGTTCCTTCATTTCACACTTCTTCTTTCTTTAAGCTCCGCTCAAGCAAAAGTGACTGCTGAAGCATGAATCTAGGCCCAGAATGGATTAAGCTGTTCCTAATATGAAGCTTTTCTCCAATTTGACTAATTTAGCCTTCATGCTCAATTACACATCACTTATTGATGAAACACCTTTTTTTAAATTTCCACCCCTAAATTTGATTATTTTCTTAAATCCCCAGGCCTCTGGAGTCAAAGTGTGCGATGAGGTAAAAGCCATCGTCAATGAAATGAAAGTGGTGAAAAACGACGCCGATTCAAGCGAACGGATCAGGATCGTGGTCTTTGAAATCAGCGAAGGCTTCATTAAGATAGAGAAAATCTACCGGCAAAAAGATTTTAAACCCGGAGACGACGTGTACAAGTTCTTCCTGACTCTTTTGGACAAGAATCAGTGCCGCTACCTTCTCTACGACTGCCACTTCGAGACCAAGGAGTCGAGTAAGAAAGAAGAGCTGGTGTTTGTCATGTGGTGAGTTTTAAATCCTTTTTTAAAAAGTTTTTATTGCAGAAAACATTCAAGGAAATGCTTTTTGAGTGTGACGGTCAAATGACTTTTTGTGTCAGGGCGTCTGAAAATGCACCCATCAAGGCAAAAATGCAGTACGCTAGCTCAAAAGATTCTCTTAAGAAGGTCCTGTCAGGTACGTGTGAACTTTTTTTTTTTTAAATTCAACTTTTTTTTTAATTTTGCGTGTTTTACAATTGGTTTGAACTGTTCCTTTTTGCATCTTTCAACAGGTACCAAACACATGCTGGAGATGAACGACCTTTCAGATTATGGAAGCAGGGAGCTGTTTGCAGCTAGAATGGGTTCTACGGTCGCCTCACTTGAAGGCCATTCTGTCTGAATGGGACCATAAGCAACCCCCCACTATTTCAAAATAAAAGAAATTGAGAGGATCTTGCCAAACTGTCTTTTCCCCGTCTAACCCCACAAAACTGATGACTTGATTGGTTTAACCAAATCATGAAGCAAAAACTAAACTTTTGACTTTGCATTCTAGTAACCTAAACCCTGTAAAGCAATGTTCAGATGCATTTTTTTTTTCCTTTGGTATTCAAATCGGCATGTTTTCACTTAACTTTAGCACATTTTAGGTTCGTTTGATCCTTAATTTGCTTTTGTGTACATAATGGCTTGAATCCTTCACCTTTCAGTACGTTTTTGTAGTAAAAGTAGTGAATTTAAACTCTGCGTGCCATATTTGCTTGGTCAAAATGCCTGGACTTGTAATTTTGACCAAAAATCTGTATTTCCTGGACTGTTAAACTTTGGATGCAACAAAGTAAATTTATTGAACTGGAAGATTCCCTGAAAGGCAATGAATTTAAATATCAAATAAAGTAACTGAAACCAATTTGTTTCTATTATTTGTACCCATCTTGAAGGTTTGTGGAAAGGGTATAGGATGGACAACTTGACCATTTCTTGCACTGATTGGAGAGAGGTCAAATAAAACTGCAACACTGATTTAATCTTTATTCAATTCTACGAATAGCAACAATTGTTTGAGACACTTCGAATAGTTTACTGCCAAGATGAGTTGTAACTAAACTCTAAGCCTATACATTAAAATTATCTACTCAGCATTTCGTTTGCTAGGAAAACTGCTTAGTGGAAACTGCTGCTGTGGTTCTGAAACTTGTGCTCAGTTGTTTCCTTATTTGGTGTGAATTTATTCAAACCCAAGTGGATCAGTTAATTGGTTCAGAACAGCCCAAAATTTAGCATCTGAATTCAACATTTAAGGAAATTACTTTCAGTTTGCAAATTTTTAAAATAAAATTGGATAATTTTCTTAAGTAGAAGTTCAAAAGTAATGGGTTTACTTTAACCTTGACATCTTAAGTGTACCATTTTTAAGTCATGAGTGTTTAAAGCGGTGCTACCTGCTGGATTTAAGTCAACTTACATCTGAAGAAATATCACTGTAGCAACACTTCCTATAGAGCTGAGGCGGGTTTGTTTTTTCCCCAAAATGGCTTTACACCCTGACAGGAAGTGCAACTTAACGTCTGACTCAACTGTTAATTCTTGCACGTCTTAAGGAAGCTGCTCTGTACGCAGCACCGGATCTGAAACTGTCAACACAAACTCAAGACTCCACCTTCTGAAAAACATGACAGAGTTCCGTAGTGCTACACTGTAGTTTTATTTATTCATTCATACAAGTTTGATGCATTACTGTCAGCCAGCTGCAAAGGGAAGCAGGCCCTCCAAACCACAAAATGCTCCCATCATTCAACCACATAGAAAAGACATACAAAGTAATTGCACAGGTTGATGCACGTTTAACGTACATTCTTTCCCTTTTAACACTGAACTATGAGGAAATATTTGGGATATAAGGCAAAAAAAAGGGGGGGGGGCCTAAATAATTTGACAGGATTGTGAATTGTGAGTTTGCAGCATGATTTCAACTTTGAAATGTTCGTTACACAAAATAATTGATCCCTAAAGTCGCAACAAATGCAAATAACTACAGTACAAGAAAAAATATTTGGGAATGCATAATTATGTAATAAGGCATATTTGGCAGTTTTCTGTAGTGTCTCCGGTGAACTTTGTCTCAGACGGACGTTCCTTCCTTCAGCTCCACATACTCTCCCTTGAAAAACACAAATTGGATAGAGTTGATTAAAATATTTAAAAGATGATTCTTGTTGTCAGTCCAATCTGTGGTCCCACCTTGATCTCCAGGTGCTCCTGTAGTGTTCTCACGGTGTCTCGCTCTTTGGTCAGCTGTTCCTGAGTGGCTTTCAGAAGCTGCTGGAGCTTAGTGGCTGCTTGGCCCAGATCGCTGGACAGCTTCTTCTCCTTCTCCAAGCGCTCCTGTTGGAACGGCAAACATGACTTTCAAAGCACAACGACCAGATTGTACGACTGTTTAGGAATGAGGTGACTAATTAAGCAAAAACAAACCCTGGAATAAGAGATTAGTTTTATTATATTCGGTATTTGCTTGTGTGTGTGTATTTCATGAATCAGTAGACGAATAAAAGAATTACTGAAAGCTCATCTACATCTGATCAACTTCTAGTGCCAACCCAATTCAAGACGTAGGGGTGTGGATAAAATTTAATCCCACACAAATACAAATTCTGAAAATGAATTCAAAAAGAACATTTAAAAAAATGCCACCAAAATCATGCGATCATCTCAAATATTAAGGAAGTTCAGGATGTTTTTGTTCGATTAATAAAGCTCATGATTTCTTCCATAATACCTAGCTGAACCAGTTAGGCCTTTGTGACCATTAATGATCCACCTTCCCACTCACTCTAAAGCAGGGGTGTCAAACTCCAGTCCTCGAGGGCCGCTATCCTGCATGTTTTAGAGGTTTTCCAGCTCCAACACACCTGATTCAGTGATTGAATTAACTCTTCAAATTGGGCAGAAGCCTGTGAATTACCCAGCGATCAAAATCAGGTGTGTTGGAGCAAGAAAACCTCTAAAACATGCAGGATAGCGGCCCTCGAGGACTGGAGTTTGACACCCCTGCTCTAAAGCATCTTGTATCCAAAAAACAAAAAACATACACCACAAAATCCAGTAAAAGTAGCAGAAAAGGTGTGAAATAATGTTAAATGCTCATGTTGCCACACTGCTACATCAAATCAACTTGATGTCTTGGAATCCATACAATGATACCATATATACACACACCATTTAAACAAAGCCCTTCAACTAATAAGAGCATCCAAAATGTGTCAAGTGATGAAGACAAGCATCAACACATGTGCAAARTCATTTAYCATTTTAACCTGTTAGACAACTTGTGCCAGTTTAGGAAAAATTTGTCAGACATTGAAAACRTCTACACTGAAGATGGAATAAAAATCTACTGAAAGTTTCTTTTGGGCGTATACATGCTGTAATACTAACGATTAGACTGAATATAAAACCTATAAGTAATTTAAAACTTAAAAATAAAAATTTCATATGTTGGCTTAAGTCATCCATAATGTTCTAGTGTGACAGGGCCTTAATGGGTCACTGGAACAAAATTGGGTGATTTATCAGTGTTTAATTTGACGTCAGCAGGGTTTTTCTGACATCGTTAAAATAATGAAACAGGAGCGATAGCATGGTGCAATTCGGTCCCAGTGGTCGGGGACAAAAATGGCAGCAGCCCTAAAGATGGCTGCCACTGCAAACTGATCTTAGAACAGTAAAGTGGTTATAATTCAGCAAATTTTGCAGCTATTGAGCTATAATTTGGTGTGGTGGTAGGTAAGACTCATACCAAATCATGTAAGGTCTCTGCAAGGTGGTGGACCCCGTCACCCAAGATGTGTTTTAGGTTTTACCTGCTGTGAAATCCAACACTGTTTCAGGGTGCTCATACTTGTGCAATCTGTGAGGAGCCTAATTAAATATCAGCCACTGAAAAGTCAAATTTGTCCTCTTAACACACCTTGAGCTGAGCTACATCTTCGCTGTCAGATTGTGGCGACTCAGCAGAAACCTTTAAGAGATCCAGCTGGGCTTGAAGATCCGCTACAGTCTTCTGGGCCTGGAAGACCAAAAATAAATAAATAAATAAATAAAAACATGCTTTTATGTTATTAACCTGAGACCTCGGTGACCCTGAACAGTGCACCGATAGAGGCCGCTACCTGCTCGAACTCCTCTGACAGCTGCTGCCTCTGAGCCGCCTCCCCGCGCAGCTTCTCCGTCGTCTGACTCAACTCGTTCTGAACCTGGCGTTACGACAAACACGGTAAATACACACAGATTAACTGGCGGCGCAAACATTCAGGCGTTACGTCGTCAGGACTGCAAACACACCCACACACATTAACGCTGCTCGACCTGTGTGTCCGGTTAGTTTCCTTTCACAACACTTTCTGCGAAATTCAGACAGTCGCTCATGTTTAATGCTGTTAATAACTTCAAACAAAAACAGCTGAAACCAAATATTTAAAGACACGGTATGTAAAAAAAAAACACTTTCCCTCAATGCCTGACAAATCAGACTAACCCTTTTTCTGTTTTAGGTCCATTAGGATTCCCAAAGTTATTTCTATTTATTACTGTCCAAATAATGAGATTAATTGTTTTCTTTAAAGTCACAAGTTTAGAGTTGMGTTATTAATATTTGGTAGCATYGCCTTTAAAGTGCCTGTGACATGCATATTCTTCAAATACAAAAAAAAAAATCAAAGAAAATATCTTTATATTTAAGAAAGGGGAATAATACGCACAAATTTACCCATTTTTGTCCCTTAACTGGCACATTTTCTTTTGAACTTGACTCAGCCAAAGTGAAACAGGAAGTGGCATCAAAGGGGAATTCTTTAACTAAGAAAACTCCCTGGTCTTCCTTTAATGAAAGATTACTATTTGAACTCTGACTCTCTCTGATAGTGACTCAAAATAATCTAAAGAAACATCAGATTCTTCTCTACAATCTGTTCTCATCACCGGTTGTAGCAACGCTGTTCACATTCAGACATTCCCTTTTAACATCACTTCCTGTTACTTTACAGGCAAATTTCTCAACRACTGTTCGTCTTAGTGGCATGAAATTTATTTTTGCAATATTTTATCAATGTCATCTCTTCAAAAATGCATTCATATGTATTACAAAAATTTGACGTCACAGACACTTTAAAATGCATGACTTGTGTCAAACCTTTTGTCCCATTCCTCTGGACAGAACTGCTGTAACTGAGTCAGGTTTTTAGGACGATTTTCCCACAAGTTTTTAATGTACGTAAAATCAGATTTGAGACAATAGGCTTGATTAGCTTTATTTAGTCACATCAAAAGATGTGCATATGACTAACCTGTTTGTCCATGTGGAGGCAGTGCTTATAAGGCTGAGTACACATGAAACTCAGACTGAAGAAGTCTCTTGGAAGAGAGACGAAACGGTTCACTAAAAAAGAACCCATCCAGAGGACCTACTTATTTTTTTCCTTTTTGAACTTTAAAGACAATTTATCATGTTATAGTGACAGACCTAGGTGTCTCCAATTATGTCAAACTAAGCCTAACATCATCATCCAGTGAATTGTGACTTAAAAAAAATCTGTTATGCAGACATTTAGCAAATGGACTTTTTGTTGGAGAACATGAATTGATTTAAAGCAGGAAAGGTTTGGTCTGATTTAATGGTTGTGTCTTTACATGGTGTATGTAAACATCTGGTTTCAGCCGTATAATAAGAGAGAGGTGAGCATGCTGAGAAACAGCAGGGAGGAGAGTTAGGTCTACTCAGATGATGCAAACAGTGGTTAGCACAAAGAGCCACKTTGTCAGACGAGTACTGGACAGACTGGAAATACAGCTCAATCGTATCAAAGGTCATCGTTCTTTTGTGTTCTGTGGTCGCATTCTTCATTTTGGACA